GAAGTCCCATTTCATCACTTCTTAACATGGTTCTAGAGCAACTGAATATCGATAGGAAATTAGTCTCTCCATTTATATATCATACATTATATAAAAAATTAACTCAAAATGGACTACATATTTGAATGCAAAACATAAAACTCAAAAGTTTTATGAAAAAACTTAAGAGAAAATCTTTGGGATCTAGGGTTAGGTCAAGTGTTCCTTTTTTTTTTTTTTAAGATTCTTTTGATGTAGGTCATTTTTAAAGTCTTTATTGAATTTGCTACAACATTGCTTCTGCACTATGCCTTTGCTTCCTAGCCTTGAGGCATGTGGGGTCCCAGCTCCCCAATCAGGGAATGAACCCACACCCCTCACAAAGGAAGGCGAAGTCTCAACCACTGAACCACCAGGGAAGCCCCTCTTCTTACTATTTTTAACCATTTTTGGGGGGGACAGTGCCAAGCAGCTTGCAGAATCTTAGTTCCCCTGACTGGGATCAAACCTGGGCTGTGGCTGTGAGGGTGCCAAGTCCTAACCATTGAACCACCAAGGAGTTCCCAGGTCAAGTGTTCTTAGAGTTGACATCAAAATCATGATCCATAAAAGGGAAAAACTGATAAACTGTACGTCATCAAAATTAAGGAGGCTTGTTTGGTGAAAGACTTTGTTAAGAGGATGAAAAAATAAGCTACAGAATGAACAAAAATATTGGCAAACCACATATCTGACAAACAACTACTATTTAGAATACATAAAGCATGTTCAAAACAGCTGTAAAAAACAATCTGATTAGAAAGTGGACAAAAGATATTGAAGAGACATTTCACTAAGAAATACAGATGTCAAACAAGTCCATACAAAGATGTTCAATGTCATTAGCAATTAGGGAAATGCAAATTAAAATCACAAGATATTACTTGACACCAGAACAGCTAAGGTAAAAAACAGTGATAACATCAAATTTATGAGAATGTGGAAAAACTGGATCATTCATACATTGCTGGTGGGAATGTGAAATGGTACAGTCATTCTGGAAAACAATTTGTGAGTTTTTTAAAAAGCTAAACATGCAAATACTCTATAACCTAGCAATTGTACCCCTGGGCATTTATCCCAGAGAATAAAGACATGTTCACACAAAAACCTGCAAATGAATGCTTGTAGCAGTTCATAAGAGCCAACACTGGAAACAACCTGGGTGTCCTTAACATGTGACTAGTTAAATATACTGAGGTACATTCACATCACAGAATACTACTCGGCAACAGTAAGAAATATTGATATGATATGCATATACTCAAATATATGCATATATGTGTATACTCAACAATCTAGATAAATCTCTAGAGAATCATGCTGAGTGGAAAAAGTCAATTTTACAAAGTAACTATTATATGATTCCATTAAGATAACATTTTTGAAATGACAAAACTATAGAAATGGAGACTAAATTACTAGTTACCAGGGATTAAAGAAGGGGTAGAAGTGAGAGGGGCAAGTGGCTGGCTATAAAAGGGCAACATGAGGGATTCTCAGGAGGTGATGGAAATGTTCTGTATGGTGACTGCATTATGTCAATATCCTGGTCTTGATGTCATACTATACTTCTGCAACATGTTACCATTAGGGGAATGTGGTAAAGGGTACATAGTATCTCTCAGTATTATTTCTTACAATTGCATATGAATCTGCAATTATCTTTCTTTTTTTTTTTAGCTTTTTTTGGTAATTATCTTTAAATTAAAATACATGATTAAAAAGTCAGTAAGCAAGTATATCCTGTCCCACTTCAGGCAAATAATAATAGTTGTCATCAGAGGCAGATTTACCATAAAGCTAAAGGTAAGCTTCAGGGCCCACCTCCACAGACTCTGGAGTCCTGGAAGTTATTAGGGACTAGAGTGTTCTAATTGAGGAGAAGACAGACTGCAGCAGGAAGGCTTTCTGATAAATTGCCTAGAGGTTTCAGAAGAAAGGGACCTAAATTTCCAAGATTCCATAATTGTTTTTACATTAAAAAAAAATATATATATATATATATATATATCGAGAACCTAATTTTATTTATTTATTTTTTGGCTCTGCTGGGTCTTGGCTGGTCTGTGATCTTTCTCTAGTTGCAGTGAGAGTGGACTACTCTCCAGTTGTGTGTGGGCTTCTCATTGTGGTGGCTTGTTGCAGAGCATGGGCTCTAGAGCACTTGGGCTTCAGTAGTTGCTGCATGTGGGCTCAGTAGGTGCAACTCCAAGGCTGCACAGTGTGGGCTCAGCAGTTGTGAAGGCTGGGCTTAGTTGCTCTGCAGCATATGGGACCTTCCTGGACCAGGGAATGAACCCGTGTCTCCTGCACTGGCAGACAGATTCATTACCAATGAGCCACCAGGGAAGCCCTGAGTACCTAATTTTAATGTGTACCTAACTTTAGAAGGTCTAAACAAGTACTTACAAAAGCTTCAGGCCCCACAAGATTTAGCTCAGCCCCTCCTTACCACAGCATGGTGACTGAAGAGCAATGGTTCTAAATTCAAATCCTGGTTATTCTCAAGGTGTGTAACCTTAGTTTCTCTAAGCAGTTTCTTCATCTGTAAAATAGGGATGACAAATGGAATACTGCCTGCCATTGTTGTTCATTTGGACTGCAGCTCACCAGGCTTTCCTGTCCTTCACTATCTCCTGGAGTTTGCTCAAACTCATGTCTATTGAGATGGTGATGCCATCTAACCATCTCATTCTCTGTCACCCTCTTCTCCTCCTGCCCTCAATCTTTCCCAGCATCAGGGTCTTTTCAAAATATGTCACAGTCATCAGCGATTGGCGACTTGCAGCCACCACAGAAAGTAGTGAGCCCTGGGGGAACTCATAAAGGAAACAAGAAGAATACCTGCCGTCCAGCAGCCATCAGACTGCAGCCATTCTCTAAAGTGAACCCTGAGGAAACACAGGATGTAAAAGCACAGGATGTGAGTGAAAGTTGCTCAGTCTTGTCTGACTCTGTGATCCCATGGATTGTAGTCGCCAGGTGCCTCTGTCCATGGGATTTCCCAGGCAAGAATACTGGAGTGGGCTGCCATTCCCTTCTCCAAGGAATCTTCCCAACCCAGGGATCCAACTCAGGTATCCTGCATTGCAGGCTGATTCTTCACTGTCTGAACCATCAAGGAAGCCCAAAAGCACAGGATACTGGCCCCAGAGAGCTGAGGTGCAGATCAAAGGACTAATTTCACTGAGCCCAGAATCTTGCATCTTCCCATACACAGAAAAGCACTAAATTCCTTAATTTGTGATTTCTGGCTTTCTTCAATTATTTCTACAATAATTTTTAGGGCTTCCCTGGGCTCAGACTGTAAAGACTCCGCCTGCAATGCGGGAGACCCAGGCTCAAATGCTGGGTTGGGAAGATCTCCTGGAGAAAGAAATGGCAACCCACTCCAGTACTCTTGCCTGGGAAATCCCATGGACAGAGGAGACTGGCAGGCTACAGTCCAAGGAGTTGCAGAGAGTAGGACACGACTGAATGACTAACACTTTCACTTTAGATGTTTCTGACTACTTGCTCTGTGTTGCAAAACTTCTATATATGGAAGTTCCCCCTTGCCTCCTCTGAGCAGTTCTCTTAGGGTTACTTGAGATTCTGCTTCCTGGGCTTGATGTCCTAAAAATTTCCACCAAATAAAACTTAACTCTCAACTTTAGGTTGTGAGCAATTTTTTTAGTGTACAGGGACAATAATAAACCTGCCTCACAGTTGTGAGCATTCAGTTCAGTTCAGTCGCTCAGTTGTGTCTGACTCTTTGCGATCCCACGGACTGCAGCATGCCAGGCCTCCCTGTCCATCACCAACTCCCAGAGCCTACCCAAACTCATGTCCACTGGGTCAGTGGTGACATCCAACCATCGAATCCTCTGTCGTCCCCTTCTCCTTCTGCCTTCAATCTTTCCTAGCATCAGGGTCTTTTCAAATGAGTCAGTTTTTCACATCAGGTGGCCAAAATATTGGAGTTTCAGCTTCAGCATCAGTCTTTCCAATGAATATTCAGGACTGATTTCCTTTAGGATGGACAGGTTGGATCTCCTTGCAGTCCAAGGAACTCGCAAGAGTCTTCTTCAACACCACAGTTCAAAAGCATCAATTCTTCAGCGCTCAGCTTTCTTTATTAAATGATTATAACTCAGAAACTTAGAGGTACCTGGCAATAAATGCTATGTGTATACCCCTTACTAGTGAGTACCTAGGTTGTGCTTGGCATTATATCGATAAATTTAAGCACATTAATTTATCTAACTCTCAGAATAGCCAAAATACTAATACAGTTTCGTTATGAAGTAATTGACGTTTTAAGAGACTGAGCCTATAGGAAGACTGAGTGTATAGGATTAGGCCTGATTCCAAAGGCACATTGCCGCCAGCACGGTTTTGCCTAGGAAAGGAAGGTAGCTTTCTTCGAGACACCCCAGACCTAAAAATCAAGGCCCCTGGGAGCTTTCACTGCCTAAGCCGACCACGTGGTAGGGAGTCCAGACGGAAAAACTGCCCCCACCCTCGGCGGGTGGGGATGGGGGAAGAGGAGCGACATCTAACTCCGACCTCCTCTCCAGCTCTGTCACATACTAAGACCCCCTTCCCCAGCCTTCTGCACACAGGCGCAAGTCCTTCGTAGCCCCATCTGAAGTAAACCATCACTTCAGTTGCTTCCCAGGCAGCACAACAGCCTCTCCAAAGCTCCAGTGGACCCGAACGCAAGCCCTGGCCCCAAGCACAAAAACCTAGCTGGTCCTCTTGCCCCACCCACCTCGCCCAACCGCTCCCGCCACCGCGGATCCCGCCCTCCCTCCTAAGTCCCACCTCCTCGCTGATCCGTTTAGCCAACCCACCTCTACAGCCCCGGCCTCTCCGCGACCGCAGGGCTAGGCCCGCCCCCATTTTTGAGGCGCGAGCGCCGAACGCATCGAACGCAGCCAATGGGTGGTTCGGTGGCGGCACCGCGGGAGGTTCGATTGACCGGGCCTGGCGGGTCCCGGGAGTCCTGGCGGCTGTTAACGCGCGCTTTGGGTAGAGGAAGGTTAAGCTGCAGTGTTTGGGATTCAGCTCTGCGGCTCGTTCCAGCCTTGCCTGGGATTCCCCTCCCAAGCCCGGGTCTTCTGCGTGTCTTGCCTGGACTCCTGCTCTGCCTCCCTTAGGCCCGCTCCGCACTTCGACCTGGGAAATCCCTTCTCGGGACTCGCCCTCCCCAGGCCTCAGATTACCCCCCAACGCTCCGCGCTGCTACCCGCTGCCTTCAGGTCCATCTGGGGCCGTTATCTCGACTCCCCTCTGCCCAGTCTGGCCGTCCCTTCCCCTGTCTCTTCCCCCCATCCTAGACCTCTACCCACTTCTGATTGGGTACTTCCTTTTTGCCCTTCTCTCCCGCCTTGGCTACCTGGAGACCGACACTCTTCATACTTCGGGCCCAAACCTCAGCCCCTGGCTGTATTCCTTCCATCCCTGCTCCTTTAATTAGCCCATGCTCTCAAAAGAGTAGCAGCCCGCTCTTTACTAGGCTGGTTCTACATTCTCAGCTGCTGGGTGCCTTTGACCTTTGCCTAATGGGTACTTGACATTTTATATTCCTGGGTCCAGGATGGTAAGTATGGGCCTATGGGAGACTGTGGCTAGCCCTATGACTGGGTCTAATGGACTGTTTCCGTCCTCTTCTTACAGAGGAGGAGCCTAGCTCCCAGCCAGCTGGCCAAAAGAAAACCGGAAGATGGACCCTCTGATGATGACGACTGGCAGCCTGGAGCAGTGGTGAGTACTCTGCCCTCAAGGGGATAGGGGACATTGGGTTGCAGGGCCGTTTAGGCGGAGAGAAATCCTAGACTTGGTTTCTGGGGTTTCATGAAATGTACCCTGTCACCTCCAGAAGCCTTTCAGTGCTTACTGTTCTTTTAGTGAGTGCTTACTATGTGTCAGGCATCGAACTGGATAAATAAAATCTTTGTCCTCAAGGTGCTCACTAAAAGCTAGTATGCCTCAGTTTTCCTGATAGGAAGGGGTGTTCCAAAGCAAAGAGCTGATTGGGTTGGACCCTTTGGCTACCTTGGGAAAAAAGAGGAGGCCCCAGCAGCAACTAGCAGCTCTTTTTCTCTTTGTCACCTGCCCAGTGTCACAGAACAGTAGAGTGCACTGGGCCTACGGTAGAATCTGAGCTTCCTTGGGCCTTGATTGGAGGGGTGGTGCCCTTCCAGTCCCTGCAGATAATCAAGGGCACCACATTCGGCTTTGGACTGAGCCCTGCCTTGGAGGCTTTTTGGGGCTAGCTGTGGGCAGGACCTATGTAACCTAAATCAGTAGGATGATGATGTAGCATGAACTTCAGAGAAAGCAATTCAAGAAGCAGTGGTTTGGTCATTGGAACTTTGGAGGAAGGGATTAGCTAAGAAATATCTAGAAGGCAGTTTGGGGTGGTTGCAACATGTGAGTGAAAGCCCATAGAGAGAGTGGAAGGGGTCTGGTGTTTGTTTCAGCTGTGTCTTGTAGCTTCAGATACCTTGGCAAGCTGCTACAAGTGGATTCTTGCCTGATGGCTCAGTGGGGCTCGTTCTGTAGCTGCACTGCTGGTGTGCAGGCTGCCTTGGCTGCCCCTTGTCACTTACATGGGTCTCAGACTTGAACTTGGGGCAGCACTTGGTGTTGTCTGCTCCTGGTTGCTCCAGAAAATGCTTTCAGTGCTGGTGTTCTCACAGACATGGTGGGGACTGACGAGAGGGGCCTGGGAGTTGGGAGCAGCTGTACTCTTGGCCTCCATTGGTAAACCCTGGGAGGAAAGCAAAGAGTCACTCAGTCATTCCTTGGGGCTTTTGGAGTGAAGATTTGTGAGCAGCTTGACAGTGCTACTGATGGACTTGCCAGTCACAGGCCCACTTCATTCACTTCCATTGCCCCTGATAGCTCAGTTGGTAAAGAATCTGCCTGCAATGCCGGTTTGATTCCTGGGTTGGGAAGATCCCCTGGAGAAGGGAATGGCTACCCACTCCAGTATTCTGGCCTGGAGAATTCCATGGACTGTATAGTCCATGGGAAGGCAGAGTTGGACAGGACTGAGCGACTTTTACTTTTCACTGCCCCTCAAATTCGGCAAGTTCTTTAACCTCACTAAGCTCCACTGTTCTCACCTGTTACATCAGGATGTAAACATGTATTCTAGGATTACTGTGAAGATGATATATGATAACACATGTGAAGAGTTTAGCACAGTGCTTCACGCTTAATGAGCATTTTAAATATTAGTTGTCATTGTGGCTAACTCCATATCATCCAGACTTCATCTTCCCCAATTCTCTCTCCTAGACTCCTAAGAAACCTAAGAAATCCAGCTGTGAGACCCAGAGCCAGGAGTGTTTCCTGTCTCCTTTTCGGAAACCTTTGACTCAGCTAACGAATCGACCACCCTGTCTGGACAGCAGTCAACATGTAAGCCCGAGCTATAACCTGTCAATGTCTGTGTGTGCCCTCTTCTGTCTAGGGAGGCTCCCTGAGTCCTCACACAGTAGCCAGCAGATGCTTTAGTGGGAGCTTTCGACCTCGCCACAGCTCCCAGGGCCTGGAAAAGGCCTGACCTCTTTTCTTAGAGATTTCCTTAGTGTGCCTGACTTGGAATTCCTCTTGTTGTAGCTACTTGGGCACCAGCTCTCAGGTGGCTCAGACTGGTGACGACAACGAGGTGCAGAGAGCGAAGACGTCCCCATTTAGGCAGGGTGTTGGAACCCGTCAGAGAACTGTCTCTGATTTTGCATAATGGCTTTTAAGAAGTACCAGAGCCTATAGCTTTCACTGTATCCTTTAGTAAAATCAAAAGTAATCATCACCGTGGCAGGTTATGTGCATTATCTCATGTAACTCATATTTTTAAGATAAGGAAGCTGACTCCTAGAGGGGTTAAATAATTTGCTTAAAGTTACAAAATTGTCAGATCTGCCTAGCTCCATCCAAAGCTTTTTCCTCTAAACCGTCTGAGGGACACCAAGACACAGCTCCAAAAACCCTTGGAATTTAAATGATAAGAGGGATCAAGATGTCTTCTGTTATTCCTAATGAACCCCTTTCAGCCACACCTGAATTTACTAATGGACTTTGGAAGGCAGGTATCTTTGGGACTGGTTGCCAGGGGAACCAACCTGCCAATGTTTAATCAGTCCTACCTGTGTCAAAAGCCTCCTTAGAAACACAAAAGGTTTGGGAGGGTTTGGAGAACTTCCCGCTTAGTGAGCTGGAAGTCAGGAAGAGGCACACCCGAAGCTCCTCTGGGCCAGAAGCTCCAGTGTTCATTGCTCTTCCAGACCTCCCTCTGTGTGTCTGTTCTTCTGGCTATTCATTCATATCTTTTAATATTCTTTGTGATAAATCAGTAATCTAGTAAGTAAACTTTATCTGAGTTCTCTGAACCAGCTAGTGAATTAATCTAAGGAAGGGGTTGTGGTAACATTTGATTTGTAGCTTGTGGTCAGAGCCTTTCAAGACTGCCTGCATTACAGGAAACTCGGGTTCTATCCCAGGGTTGGGAAAATCCCCCCCAGTATTGCCTGGAAAATCCCATGGACAGAGGAGCCTGGCAGGCTACAGTCCATGGGGTCGCAAAGAGCTGATTGAGCGACTAACACTTTCACTTTGTGGTCAGAAGCACCTAGACCTGAGATTTGCTTCTGATGCTTTCTCCTGGAACATAGTGTTGGAATTAAGGTGTAGGGAACCCAAGTGGAAACAAAGATTTGCTTGACGTGTGGAAAACCCACATGTCAGGTGTCAGAAATAGTGTAGTATTGAGAATAGAGGCGACACAAGATTGTTTTTTTTAATTAATTTTGATTGGAGTATAGTTGCTTTACAATGTTGTGTTAATTTCTGCTGTGCAGCAAAGTGAATCAGCCATACGTGTATGTGTGTATATATCTCCCCTCTTTTTTGGATTTCCTTCCCATTTGGGTCACCACAGAGCACTGAATAGAGTTCCCTAAGCTATACAGTAGATTCTCATTAGTTATTTATTTTATACATAGTATCAGGAGTGTATATATGTCAATTCCAATTCATCCCACCCTCTCCCTTTCCCCTTTGGTGTCCATGCATTTGTTCTCTACTTCTGTGTCTCTGTTTTGCAGATAAGATCATCTATACCATTTTTCTAGATCCCACTTATATACATTAATACATGATACTTGTTTTCCTCTTTCTGGCTTACTTCATTCATTTATAACAATCTCTAGGTCCATGTGTCTACAAATGACCCAATTTCATTCCTTTTATGGCTAATTCCATTGTGGATGAACACACACACACATACATACTATCTATCCTTTATCCATTCCTCTGTTGATGAACATTTAGGTTACTTCCGTGTTCTGGCTATTGTAAGTAGTGCTGCAGTGAACATTGGAATTCATCAGTTTTTTTTTTTTTTCAGTCTTTTTTTTTATAAAATAAGCAACAAGGACATGCAACACAAGGAAGTATAGTCATTATTTTTTTTTTCTTTTTTTTTTTATGATTTTTTTTTCCATTTATTTTTATTAGTTGGAGGCTAATTACTTTACATCATTACAGTAGTTTTTGTTATACATTGAAATGAATTAGCCATGGATTTACATGTATTCCCCATCCCGGTCCCCCCACCCACCTCCCTCTCCACCCGATCCCTCTGGGTCTTTCCCAATGCACCAGGCCCGAGCACTTGTCTCATGTACCCAACCTGGGCTGGTTATCTGTTTCACCCTAGATAATATACATGTTTCAATGCTGTTTCATTATTTTGTAATAACTTTATTTTTTGCTTTAGAGAGTTGATATTTCATTTTTAAAATTTTTATTGGCGTATAGTTGATTTACAGTGTTGTGTGTGTTTCAGGTGTGAGCTTCCCAGGTGATTCAGTGGTGAGCAATCTGCCTACTAATGCAGGAGATGTTCGATGGGTCGGGAAGATCCCCTGGAGAAGGAAATGGCAACCCACTCCAGTATTCTTGCCTGGGAAATCCCATGGACAGAGGAGCCTGGCAGGCTCTGGTCCATGGGTTCACAGAGAGTCAGACACAACTGACCACTACATGTGTCTTTTTAAATTATGGTTTTCTCTGAGTATAGGTCCAGTAGTGAGATTGCTGTTCATATGCTAGTTCTATTTTGAGTTTTTTAAGGAACCTCCATACTGTTCTCCATAGTGTTTGTACCAGTTTATATTCCCAAAAACAGTGCAAGAGGACTCCAGTCGCTCTTCAGCATTTATTGTTTGTAGATTTTATTAATGATGGCCATTTTGATGAGTGTGAGTTGATACCTCATTGTAGTTTTGATTTGCATTCCTCTAATTAATTATGTTGAGCATCTTTTCATGTGTTTGTTTGGTCATCTGTACGGTTTCTTTGGAGAAATGTCTATTTAGGTCTTCTGCCCATTTTTTTGATTGGGTTGTTTTTTTGATACTGAGCTGCATGAGCTGTTTGTATATTTTGGAGATTAATCCTTTTTCAGTTTCTTCAGTTGCAAATATTTCCTCCTATTCTGAGGGTTGTCTTTTTGTCTTGTTTGTGGTTTCCTTTACTGTGCAAAAGCTTTTACGTTTAATTAGGTCTCATTTGTTTATTTTTATTTTCATTAGGAGGTGCATCAAAAAAGATTAGAATGTTTTGCCTATGTTTTCCTCTAAGAGTTTTATTGTGTATGGCCTTATGCTACTGCTAAGTCCCGTCAGTCGTGTCCGACTCTGTGCGACCCCATCCCTGGGATTCTCCAGGCAAGAACACTGGAGTGGGTTGCCATTTCCTTCTCCCATGCATAAAAGTGAAAAGTGAAAGTGAAGTTGCTCAGTCATGTCTGACTCTTCGAGACCCCATGGACTGCAGCCTAATGCAGCATGCCAGGCCTCCCTGTCCATCACCAACTCCCAAAGTTTACTCAAACTCATGTCCATTGAGTTGGTGATGCCATCCAACCATCTCATCCTCTGCTGTCTCCTTCTCCTCCTGCCTTCAATCTTTCCCAGCATCAGGGTCTTTTCTAATGAGTTGCTTCTTTGTATCAGGGGCCAGAGTATTGGAGCTTCAGCTTTAGTATCAGTTCTTCCAATGTATATTCAGGACTGATTTCCTTTAGAATTGATTGGTTTGATCTCCTTGCAGTCCAAGGGACTCTCAAGAGTCTTCTCCAACACCACAGTTCAGAAGCATCAATTCTTTGGTGCTCAGCTTTCTTTATAGTCCCAACTCACACATCCATACATGACTACTGGAAAAACCATAGCTTTGACTAGGTGGACCTCTGTCAGCAAAATAATGTTTCTGCTTTTTAATATGCTGTCTAGGTTGGTCATAGCTTTTCTTCTAAGGAGTAAACGTCTTTTAATTTCATGGCTGCAGTCTCCATCTGCAGTGATTTTGGAGCCCAAGAAAATAAAGTCTGTCACTGTTTCCATTGTTTCCCCATCTATTTTTCATGAAGTGATGGGACCAGCTGCTGTGATCTTAGTTTTCTGAATGTTGAGCTTTAAGCCAACTCTTTCACTCTCCTCTTTTACTTTCATCAAGAGACTCTTTAGTTCTTCATTTTCTGCCATAAGGGTGGTGTCATCTGCGTATCTGAGGTTATTGATGTTTCTCCCGGCAATCTTGCTTCCAGCTTGTGCTTCATCCAGCTGGGCATTTTGCATGATGTACTTTGCATATAAGTTAAATAAGCAGGGCCTTAGGGCCTTTGCCTCTGTAGGTGGATTTTTTTTTTTTTTTTTACCTGTGCTGGATCTTTGTTGCTGCCCACAGGCTTTCTCTAGTTGTGGTAAGCAGGTGCTGCTCTGTAGTTGCTATGAGTGGGTTTCTCATTGCGGTGGCTTCTCTTGTTGGGGAGCATGGGCTCTAGGGTGCAAGGGCTTCAGTAGTTGTGACGCAGGCTACTAGTACTGATTCTTCAGCATGTGGAATCTTCCCAGACCAGGGATCAAATCCATGTCCCCTGCACTGGCAGGTGGATTCTTAACCAATGGACCACCAAGGATGTCCTGTAGCAAGGTTTATTCCTAGGTGTTTTATTGTTTTTCTTGCAATGGTAGAGACACAGGATTGTGTTTTTCCTTTATAGGGACATTTTGAAGGGAAAATGGGAATATGATAGGAATGTGTAATGGAGGTTATTTATGCATTCAGAAAACATTTTACATACTATTTGATGAATACAGAAACATAAAATGTATAATGTGTATAAGGTATAAACCAAAATAACACCTGTGAACCCACCACCCAGTGCTAGAACATCATCAGTCATAATTCTTTTCCCATTCCCAGAGGTACCACCATCCTAACTATGTTCATCATCCCTTGCTTTTTGTGATCGTTTTACCATATGTATGTAATTCACTAAATTAATATGGTTTAATTGTTTCTTGAGCTTAGAAAAGTAGTATTAGTCCTCTGGAGCTGTTTTAATTCAGGATTTATCTTATGAGATAAGTGTGAGGGTGGTGAGAGTTTGCAAACAAGAGGCCTAACAGTCCGGAGGCTGGTGGAGACTCGAATCTGAGGGACATGCTGATTAGGTTGGGTCCTGAAGAATGTGGGGAGTTTGCCAGGTGAAGAGAGCAGGGAATGTTCCAGGTAAAGGGAACAGCCTGTGTGAAAGCTGTGGAGGAAGGATCCCCAAAGGAAAAAAATGCTTTAGGACTACAGAAGTCAGTGCAGACCTGGGGGCAGACTTTAGTCTTAGACACAATGAGTTTTAAGTCCTGTGGGTTGTCTAGGTTTGCACATGTGGCTGTGGTACCTAGGAGGGTGTTATGGACTGGAAATAGATTTGAGGTGATTGGCATAGAGTTTGACACCTCCAAAAAGTGTATTGGCATGTCCATGTGAATGTATAGTCAGAAGAACTTAGGGTCAAACCTGAGAAACACTGACTTTTAAAGGGATTGGTCAGAAGAGGAGGAGCCCAGAAAGACAAAATAGTGGGATAATGGTGTCTTGGAAGTCAAAAGCAGAGACTATTTGAGAGGGAGTGACCAGCTTTGTCTAGTAAGATAGGGTAGAAAAATATCTCTTGAATTTAAGGTCTTGTAGGCCATTGGTGACCTTGGGCAGAATCATTTCAGAAGATAGGAGGAGTGGGAGATAAGAGGAAACAGACTACTTTTTCTAGAAGTTTGAAGGGGAGGAGATATGAGGTCAAAGGACATTTTGTTTTTAAGATAGGAGAGAGTTAAGCATGTCTTAAATGCTGGTGAGAAAGAGCTGGTAGAAGAAACTTGAGATAGAGAAAGATCAGGCAGCCCTGATAGAATGACTGTGGAAGAAGGAAGCTTTGACCTTGGGGAGGAGGAAGAATGTTCTTCTCCCTCTTCTATCATCTGGAGGAAAGGGTGGTGTGGATTTTCATTAACGAAACAAACTGAGTGAGAGCATGCTTTCCCCTGCCTCTGTCAGAGTCTAATGACTATTCCCAGGCCAGATTCTTGGAAGCTGCATTGCAAATCTTGCAGGCTGTGTGTGCCCTCAGATGGTTTTAGCCAGGGGTCCTCACCTCCTTCCACAGTAGTTCCACAAGCCTGCACTTCTACCTGCAGAACTCACAGTTCCTGGGTTTTACTGAAAGTCTTTTTAAATTTGGAGCATAAATTCTTGGCTTCTTAGAGCTTTAATACTAGCCTCTTACATTGATAATCTTGAAAATAATATCTCAGTTTCAGAATTAAAAGCAGAATTGATGCCAAGTTAGGGAAGAAATTGAGTCCATCTTTTTCCTTTTCCTCTTCTTTGACTTAATGGTAGCTTTTTGTTAGCATCTTTCATGTATAAGTTTCTCATTATCCTTTCTTTGATAATTAAAAATAATCAAAAGATTTTATTCAGCTGCAAAGAAATATGCAAATAAAGAATTGGAGCCTTTCTCCAACACTGGCCTTGTGTTATTTAAGCGTGGTGATGAAGTTCAGTTCTCCACATTTCTTTTCTATCTTGCAATACATTGCCATAATGAATTTACAGTCTTCTTATTTAAAGTACATTGAGTTTCTAGAATTTAATTTATAACCTATACAGGTGGATCAGAATAAAAAGATAAAAATTTCAGGGCAATTGCTTTTTTTTTCTCCCCCTTATTAAACTGTGTTTTTGCTAGAAGGGAGTATTTTTCATTACTTTCCCACTAATGTATTCCATTAAGACTGCCTTCAGCATTTCTGCTCTTGTTTTCTCCTTGCTCTCTTGGCTAACTCTTTATTAATTTTGTTGAGGTTCACAGGCTATTGTAATTGCCTAGAGGGCTCAGGTGTCTATAGATGAGAACTTAGATGGGAGTTGTCAGTTAGCTCAGGAGCTGACACTGTGGACTCCCGTGCCTCCTTCTGCCCCAGCCCAGTGCTGATTCCAGGCTGAAGTGATGGCACAGAGACTTCCTGTCATCCTTGTCCCCGGCTTTTTTGGTGATTGGCTTGCCCCCCTCTCTCATATCCTCTTGGCTCATGTTTTCCCCTCTCTTGTGCCTTTCCATGCAGGAAGCTGTTGACTCTGGGCTGGTCCACATGCTATACTCAAATAGGTTGGGTTAGGAAGTCATATTGCCCATCTGTTGCAAATAAAGGCCCTGAAATCAGGAAAGTCTTACAGACGTCATGGTTGTGTGACTTGGGAAACCACTCAGCCTCAATTTGCTCATCTGTAAAATAGGGTTGCCAGTAATATAGAGACCTCAAAGAGCTATTAATGAGGATTGGTAACATGAATGCAAGGACTTAGCACTGCATCTGACATACATTATTAGTCATCATCATTACCGTCATTTTTGTTGTCATCAACATTATTTTACTGATACTACTGCTCCTTTTTCTCCTGTGACCACTACTCTTTGAAGGGCTGTTTAGTTCCCGAGGAGGCTGATGTGAAAATTGATATGGGAATTAGATGCAGTAAGCAGGATTGATTAGAGATTACAAAAGAAGTGTGAGCTATGCTTGGAAAGATATAGCCTTATAGGACAGTGGTTGAATCTAGACTTGAGAGTTTTATTAGTACTGGGATCGGGTCAGTTTGTGGTGCTTTCTTAAGGCACTGCAGCTTAGGGAATAGTTATGTATGCTTGCTTGGCATGATCTTTCATGAGCTAAAGGTTCTGAGTCTTGTGGTTAACCAAGGCCAGGTATTTGCTTTGGCACTGCCTTGTCCCTGGGGATTTGTGGAACTTCATGCAAAGCCTCAAAGATGAAAGCCATTTTACAAAACCTAATAATTTAATATGGAGCACATCTTCTGTTCTAGATGCATCTGAATGAGATGTAGTCAAACTACAGTGGTCTAAATATATTATGATGCTTACCTGGGCATTTTTGACTGTGTTTATAAAAATATCCCATAACATCTCCAAGCAGTCCTGAATCCTTGTTTCTTCTTTTTTTAGGAAGCATTTATTCGAAGCATTTTGTCAAAGCCTTTCAAAATCCCCATTCCAAATTATCAAGGTAAAAGTGGAGACTCTTCTGTTTCTTAAATTAGTCATGTGTGAATATGCCCAAATAGATAAAAACATCTGCTTTTGTAAGTACAAGCTTACCTTGGAGTTAAAGATGCCTGTCCAGTGCTGACTCTGTGGGGGTCACTCTCCTGGGGCCTGCATGAGGTCTGTGTTTGATAGGGTCACCAAGACTAAGTGCCCCTCATCTTGGTGGGGATGTGCCAGTGTGTAGGAAGCTTCTGGTGGGCCAGGGTGGCTGATGGACCCAGGCTCCGTTCAGTCCAAGTGAATCCAGTAGCATTTCCTTTACAAGGTTGACTATGTTGGGGGTCTAGGTTCTGCAGGTTTCCCCCTCTGTACAAAGGGCAGAGCGTTGTGCTCACTTGGGCTGTGGGGAGGAGGCAAACTCTTGAGCTTTCAGTCTTGAAAGGCTCCGTTAGGGTTTCAGACCTTTCCAGGGTTGTTTTGATCTAAGATGAAAGAGACCTGGCCCCCCCAGAAGCTTGTAGCTGAGTAGGAGAAGTAATATCTGAGGGAGGCTGGTTAATGGTTAGGTAGAGGTGCCCAAATTGCATCTGGAGAGAGGGGTACTGGGGGGAGAGGGTCATGTGGAAGCTTTGGAAAGGTTATGTGAAGGATAGGCATTTAACCTGAGCCGGCTGGAGCTCCTCAGCTTAGAGGCTTAAATGACAAATTGTTGGTTTCTAGGTCCTCTGGGCTCTCGGGCATTGGGCCTCAAACGGGCTGGGGTCCGCCGAGCCCTCCATGACCCCCTGGAAGAAGGTGCCTTGGTTCTGTATGAGCCTCCCCCACTGAGCGCCCATGACCAGCTGAAGTTTGACAGGTACGTGCACTGGTGTTTCTTGAGCAGTTGTGGTCCCCTGTGAGCGCACAGAGCCTAGAGGGCAGAGAGTATTTTGGTGTGGTTTCACCCTGGGACCTGCATGTGTTTTCAGAGTGCTGTCGTGACTGCGGTACCATCTAGAGAGTGAGTAGCTGGGGAGGAGAGTGCCTGGGGAAGAGTGTGTAGATATGTCCATTTGGTGGGTTACCTCATCCTTTCCCACCAGGCTCACTCAGGGGAGCAGGGGACGTTCAGGTGATGACATAGGGAACCCAATGCCATCTCCTCGCTTTCTCACCCTGGAGAGGAATTTGCTAATGCATGGTTTGATTGCACGGGCCAGAGAGGTCCTGTCTTAGGCAACTGCCTCTGGATCAACAGGACATAGCTTTCTGAGGGTGTGCCCATAGCTTTCTGAGGGTGTGCCGTTGCCGTGTCTGAGCTCTGTTTTCTGTGTTGTATTTTCTCAGGGAAAAACTTCCCGTTCATGTGGTTGTTGATCCTCTTCTGAGTAAGGTCTTGAGGCCTCATCAGAGAGAGGTAAATGGTGGTGGGGGTGAGGTTTGAGCTGGGGCAGCGGCTGGGCCTGAGAGCCTCTCATCCCGGAAGCTGCAGCAGTGGGGTGCCAAAGGGGGCTGAGAGCTGTTACTATTCCCCAGGGAGTAAAGTTCCTGTGGGAGTGTGTCACCAGTCGGCGCATCCCCGGGAGCCATGGCTGCATCATGGCTGATGAGATGGGCCTGGGCAAGACACTGCAGTGCATCACACTGATGTGGACGCTTCTGCGCCAGAGTCCAGACTGCAAGCCAGAAATCGACAAGGCAGTGGTGGTGTCGCCCTCCAGCCTAGTGAGGAACTGGTACAATGAAGTTGGGAAATGGCTTGGAGGGAGGATCCAACCTCTGGCCATCGATGGAGGCTCTAAGGACGAGATAGACCAAAAGCTGGGTAGGAGCCTTAACAAACATGACTGCACTCCTCCATACAACCTGCTCCTTTCTTTTTTTTTTTTTTTTCCATTTATTTTTATTAGTTGGAGGCTAATTACTTTACATCATTGCAGTGGTTTTTGTCATACATTGAAATGAATTAGCCATGGATTTACATGTATTCCCCATCCCGGTCCCCCCTCCCACCTCCCTCTCCACCCGATCCCTCTGGGTCTTCCCAGTGCACCAGGCCCGAGCACTTGTCTCATGCACCCAACCTGGGCTGGTGATCTGTTTCACCCTAGATAATATACATGTTTCAATGCTGTTCTCTTGAAACATCCCACCCTCGCCTTCTCCCAGAGTCCACAAGTCTGTTCTATACATCTGAGTCTCTTTTTCTGTTTTGCATATAGGGTTATCGTTACCATCTTTCTAAATTCCATATATATGTGTTAGTATACTGTAATGGTCTTTATCTTTCTGGCTTATTTCGCTCTGTATAATGGGAGCCTGCTCCTTTCTTAAGCGTATCCTCACTGATAACCGGGGTCGAGGGCAGGGAGTGGGTGGAGGATAAGAGAATTACCATGAAAAAGAGTTTAGTTGTTTCCAGGCTAAATTACAGAATCATCAAACTGGTTTTTTCTTTAGCATATTCTCAGACTTGCTGTCCTGACACCTTTTCTGTCCTAGAGGGATTTATGAACCAGCGTGGTGCCAGAGTGCCTTCTCCCATCCTCATCATTTCCTATGAGACTTTCCGCCTTCACGTTGGAGTCCTCCAGAAAGGAAGTGTTGGACTGGTCATATGTGATGAGGTACTTGACCTACTGCTGTTTGAGTGGTGGGAGAAAAGTCTGTCAGCGTCTTCTCACTGAAAAGTGCCATCTAAGGGCTGTGCTAGTTACTGGGAGATGCTGAGGACAGAACGTACTGCCTCAGAATCAGCAGATGAGGAGAGCCCAGGGTACCAATCTGCCAAAAGAGGGGTTAAGTAGTGCTTGGGATGCCAAGGAGAGTGAGGTGCTGTGGGCTGACTGATTTTGTTCCCTCTACACAGTTTTCCTAGACCAAGGGACTTTGAAGGCTGGGAGGGATTTGGATGGATGGAGAAACACAGTACAGGGTTTAGGGGAACAGGTTCTAGGTTCACAGAAGTCTTTATTCAAATCTTGGCTGTTCTGCTTCATACCAGTAATATGACCTTGGACAAATTACTTAACTTCTCTGTGTCAGTAAAATGGGGTGATAATATCTGCCTTATGGGATTATTGTGAGGATTAAATGAAGGAAAGCTTTTATCACAGTGCCTGGTATGTCATAAGACCTTGGTAAATGTCAGCTCTGATTTTTATGTAGGCTGAGAGGACTCACGTGAACAGATGCACAGAGATAGGAAAGTCTGGTGCGGATAGTTCATACACACTATGAACCTGTGTTGACTCTCTGGGACTGAGGGAAATATAGCAGTTGTTGCTTTCGGGCCTTTTCCAGCACTGTGCATGAAGGGTGGTAGGGATGTTACTACTTAGAAAGGAGTGAGGGTGGCTGGGAGCTTCCTGGTATAAAGAATTTCCCAGGTCTAAAGGGGGCTTGGCTGCCCTGGGCCTGTTGATCTTGTTTACATCTTGGGGAAAGTCAGGGCATTCCCTGGGACTTTAGTGGAGGGGTGGCTGGAAGACTTGGCCCCATCTTTAACTGATGGCAGGCTTGACGGTGCTTTGGGGACTATAGATTACCCTAGTATCAGGGTCTTTGGGGAGGGGACAAAGAAGAAAAGCTTACTTAGGGTAACCATGCTTGCTAGCCCTGAGCTGTTTCCCAGTTGAACTTTTGTCCTTATGAAGAGTCGTTATCTGGCATGTCTGCCAACTTTTGATACCCTAATGGGCCATTCCTTGGTAGGAGTAAGGGATTTAGCAGATTGAGGTGGAGTGTGCACGTGACCACTGCACAGCACCCTGGCATTTACTTCATCATGGAAAGGGACTGTGCCAGGAGCCTGGTCTAGAGGCCAGGATGTTGGGGAAAGGAAGGCAGGCTGATGGCAGTCTGAGCCCTTGAGGGCTGAGGGCATCTAGATTTTCATTTGCTCTATAGTGTTTCATTTTTCCCCTCATTCTCTCCTGTTTTCTGAGGTACAAGGTTCCAAGCTGCCTCTTTGTATACTGCAGCGTCCTGGCCTTCCCTTAGACTCATCTACCTTTTTAAAAAAAATTTATTTATTTGGCTCTGCTGGGTCTTAGTTGCAGCACGTGGGATCTTCTTTGTGGCATTGTGGCTCTTAGTTGGGGGATGCGAAATCTAGTTCCCTGACCAGGGATTCAACCCGGGCCTCCTGCATTGGGAGTGCAGAGTCTTAACCACTAGGCCACCTGGGAAGCCCCTCGTCTATCTTTCATTTGTCAGAGTAGGAGAGTGAAAGTCCTGTCCTACTCTTTGTGACCCCATGGACTATAGCCCACTAGGCTCCTCTGTCTATGAAATTCTCCAAGCCAGAGTACTGTAGTGGGTCACCATTCCCTATTGTGTTGATTGTCAGAGACCTGAGGAAGCCGGAGTCCTGAAAAGATGGTCAGCCTACTCTAGGAGTTTGTCCTGTTTAGATCCTGGAAAGCCTTTTCTCCAGGCTTTCATGTTCCCAGCTTCCTCCTAGCTGATGCTTTTCTTTGGAACACACAGAAATAATGAAAGATAATAGCATGATAACTTTGTATAAAATCTTGATCCACATAGTAATCTGAGTTAGGCAGAGCAAGTGAGAACACTTGGAATCAGTGTTGGCTTCGCTCCTTATAAGCGTGTCTGTGGATGAGACTGCTCTCAGACTGTAGAGGAGATGGCACATTGTCTACCTGAAAGGGACATGATCCAGATCAAGAAAGAAAGTATATGGAACCATTTTGTAAGGTGTTATAAATGGGAGGGACTGACATTGTCTTCACCTCAGTTTTGGAGGTTAGGAAACAGAAGCTTAGGGGAGTGCTGGGACTTGAATCCAGGTCTGAGATTTTAAGGCCTGACTCTTCTCCACTCCCGCCTCGGGTGTAACCAAAGCTTGGTGTAGGGTGAAGCTTGGCTTGGCTATGGAAGGACTGTCTGTCCCTGTATGCCTCACCGGTTCCATGTACGTTTCTTTACAAGTTCTAGAACACAAAGCCAGTCAGATGCTGGGGAAATGTGTTAAAAACAAGAGTCTATTCATGGGGCTCATGAGAGAGAAGTGGTGGTATTTAACCTTGGTATAATTTTTTTGATTTTAAAAGGATAAGCTGAGAATTCTGCCAGAGTAGAAATTCAGTCAGAACTTTTGACAACTTTTTAGCTAGCCAAATATTTGATTTGCTGAGATGCCAGGGTTTGGGTTTTAAATTTGTGGCCAGTGGTGGCAGGAGCTGGGTCTGGAGCCAGGGCGGCTCCATAGGAGCTGGGGTTGGCCCTTTCTTCCACAGAGACCCACAAAGGTAGTGTATCAGCTCAGTTCATTAAATTGAGTTATGAAGTACCTGTTAGAGGAGTCAGGCCCTGGGGATCCCATGATTGCCTGCCTTCGGGGAGCTTCTGTTTAGAGGGTTCCAGCTGTTGATGCGCATTTCCCCAGGGCCTTTTGGGTAATTTCTTCACAAGTGTAAAGTTTCTTTTCCCTCTTCAGCTCAGAAGTCTCAGCCTTTTGTTTCAGGACTGGTGCTTGAGCTTTCAGTCATTTTAAAACTTAATTTTGTTTAGGATGTCTTTAAATTTTTTTTAATTGAGATACAATTGACATAAAATGTTTTTGTTTTAGGTATACAACATTCAGTCATTCTGTTAAATAAAATTCTGTATCTAATTCTTCAATAGCAATGTTGGTTATTCATTTCATTCTTCAGCAAACATTCATTGAATAGAGAACTCTGTCTTGTGCATTAAGTTAAAAAGCAAATCTGACATGGTCTCTGCTTTTAAAAGTTTCTGCCTTGGTGAGATAAAGTGCTGGGTGGGGGAGGGGGATGGGTGGCGGTGATATAGGAATTGAGAAGGGATGCAGAGAGAGGCTCTTTCTTTAGATCTGAACTGGATGGGTTCTGAGGAAAGGGGAGGAGGAACCTGGACTAAGTTCCCTTACCACTGACAGTCCAGACACAGCCCGGAGTCTAATACAGAAGGAATCTGACTCAGGAGGTTCTAGGATGGTTGGGCTAGTTGGGGAAGGAGAATTCCCTGAACGCCTGGGTCTCTAACATGTCCAGATGATCCTTGAAGAGGATAGGCAGACTGCTGTAGCTTTGGAGATGGGGGCAGAGGAAGAAACGGAATCCTTGCTTTATGGATGTAGCATTGATCTAGAAGCTGAAGGTCTGTCCTTGAGCCTGGCCTGTTTCTCCCCAAGAGAGTGGATAAACTCTCACTCTTGGTGCCCCTGCCCAGTTCCCAAGGCTCAGGACCTGTAATGCTTTTGATTCCCCTTTTTCTGTCTACAGAAGACTTTGCTACTATTAGGGAGGCCACATTATGCCCAGACCTCAGTGAGAATTAATTTCCTTGCAGGGACACAGGCTCAAGAACTCCGAGAATCAGACTTATCAAGCCCTGGACAGCTTGAACACCAGCCGACGGGTGCTTATCTCCGGGACCCCCATCCAGAATGATCTCCTTGAGTATTTCAGCTTGGTACACTTTGTCAATTCGGGAATCCTGGGTAAGAATCTGGCCTTTTCTGCTACACTAGAGAGGGGCCTTGATGTAACCTTGCGAGTCTAACTCTAGCTGAGAAGAGAGGAGACCACAGTTAAATGTGGGTTACTAGACACTCTTAGGAAGACTTCTCTTGTCAAGGAGTACCAGAGCCGTGGGGAGACCTTGGCTCTGCTGGGCAGCTTAGCAAGGCCCACCCTGGCCCTTTTTCCCACCGTAGAGGTGGCAGGGGCTGTGCAGGGCATGGTCTCCATGAGCTAGAGATGAAAGTACTACCCCCAGGTATTTTTGCTCATCATATCCTAGCAGCCTCAGAAGAGCTCTTGCCTCAGAGAAGACTGTCTTGGGCAGTTTTGTTTTTAACCATTATTTAGTGTACAACTTAGTGTCATTGAATACGTTCACATTGTTGTGCAACCATCACCACCATCTACCTCTAGAACTTTTTCATCTTGCAATTCTGGGACTCTTCCCATTAAGCAGCAACTCCTCACTGCCCCCCCCCAAACCCTAAAAATCATACATTGGGCAGTTCTTGTACATCTGTGGAAGGGTTTGTTAGTGCCCATTTTTTAGCTTCATGTAAAAAGAATCATATATTTTACTTTGCATCTGAATTGTTTTGTTCAATATAATGTTTGAGAGTAATTCATGTTGTTGTCTATGGCAGTTTGTTTTTCATTTTAGTATACTATTCCATTTTTTTTAATATACCAGAATTTATCAGTTCTACTGTTGATAGACAATTGAGTTTTCCATTTTTTATTATTTTGAATAATGATCCCATGAACATTCTTCTACCTTTTTTTACATGAGAATAATATGCATTTCTCTGTCATAAAAATGGAATTGCTGGGTCATACGTTATGTATGCGTTTAGCCCTAGTAAATAATCCAGTTTTCCAGAGTGATTGTACTAGCAGTATATGAGAATTTCAGTGTTTCTACATCAGAGGCCAGCAGTTTTTTTCTTAAAAGGCTAGATAGTAAGTATTGTAGGATCATAGGCCATACTGTCTGTCACAGGTACTCAGCTCTGCTGTACTGTGAAAGCAGTCATAACATGTAAATGCATGAGCATGGATGTGTTCTAATAGAACTTTACAGAAACAGGTGACTGGTCTGTGGATGTAATTTGCTGACCTCTGCTTTTTTTCACCAATATTTATCTTTAGAAGAGATTAAATTTTTTTTTTTTTTTGGTCATTCTGCTGGATGCTTAGTGGCATTTCTTCACATTTATTTAATTTTGAGTAAAAGTGGAACCCCTTTTCATATATTCATTGGCCATTTGGGATCCACTTTTGTGAGGTACCTGATCTTTGAAATTCCTGACTAAAACAAAATCCTATACTCATTAACAGTCACTCCCAACCCCACTTACCACAACCCCTATCAACTACCAGTCTATTTTCTGTCTCTGTGTACTTGCCTGTTCTGGATATTTCCTGTAAATGGAATCATATAATATGAGACCTTTTGCGTTTGGCTTCTCATACTTAGCATAATGTTTTCAAGGTTCATCAGCATTGTAGCATGTATCAGTACAGATCTTCCTCAACTTATGATGGGGTTCTGTGCCACTAAACCCATTATAAGTTGAAAATGTCTTAAGTCAAAAATGCATTTAAGGGATGTCCTTAGTGGTCCAGTGGTTAAGACTGCATTTCCACTGCAGGGGGTGTAGGTTCAACCCCTGGTTGGGGAGCTAAGATCATGTATGCCACGCAGTGCAGCCAAAAAAGTAACTAAAAAATAAAATGGTATGCAGCACAAAAAATCATACACCTTAAAAAAAAATGCATTTAATGCCAAACATTAAAACTTAGCCTAGCCTACCTGAAATGTGCTCAGAACACTTAGATTAGCCAACAATTAGGTAAAAGCAGTTCACACAGTCTATTTTATAATGAAGTATTGAGTATCTCATGTAATTCACTGAATACTCTACTGAAAGTGAAAACCAGAATGTATGGGCATAGAATGATTATATCAGTTGTTAACTCTCGTGATCACTGCAGCTCACGGGGCTCTAGGGCATGGGCTCAGTAGTTAAGACCCACAGGCTTAATTGCCCTGCAGCATGTGTAATCTTCCAGATCAGGGGTTGAACCTGTGTTCCTGGCATTGGGACTGTGGGATCTTAACCACTGGACCACCAGGGAAGTTCCTGGTCCATTTACATTTAATGTAATTAGGTATATATTTGAGTTTTGATATACTTGCTATCTTAATATTTGGCCTTTCAAGTCTTTACTGCTTTGGTAGCTCTCTGATCTATTCAAACAGAAATTGCCTATAATTTGTTCAGCTTTGTTGTTCTTGGCAGGAAGGTTAGTCTGTGACAAAGTAGTCTGCCATTCCTGGCAGTGGAAAGGTCATTACTTTTCTGCATTCTTTAATACCTTTTCTCCTGTGCTAGGAACCGCCCAGGAGTTCAAGAAGCATTTTGAATTGCCAATTCTGAAGGGTCGAGATGCAGCTGCCAGTGAGGAAGATAGGCGTGTAGGAGAGGAGCGACTGCGGGAGCTCACCAGCATTGTGAATAGGTAATGGGGGTTGGGGTGACAGTAGTAGTACCTCTTTTGGGGTCCCCCCACATTAGGTCATCAGAATTGCCTTCTTAGCTATCCAAGGCCAATCCTTTGGGGCCTTGGCCTTTGGAGGGTAGGGTTCTATGAAGAGAGTGGGATGGTGCCCTGACAATAATAGCCACTGAGTAAATGAAGGGGTCTGGCAGGCTGATTCCCTGCTTTCTTCCTGGCCTTGGCCCCTGTGGTCTGGTTTGGTGCCACTTAGCATCCTGCTGAGGAAGTTTTTGTATCCCTTGAAGCATTGTTAGTACTTTGTGTGTCTCAGATCTAAAGCACCAAGCTTCTCTTCCCACATCCCACAGCTTTCTGTGACAGGTAGTAGATCTGAAGGATGGGTGGTTTGCCTCCCGAGCTGATGGGGCTTTTTCCATGGGGGCCACATTGCTCAAGGGGCAGGTATATTCTGGACTGTTATAGTTATTCTGTTGTAGTTATATATACTTGATGATTTATATCCTGAAGAGTCTTGCTTTTGCCAACTGCCACCTCCCTCTCAGGTTAAGATGACAGGAAAGAGTCCATGTGCTCTTAGGAGCTGCTGCTCAGGTGCCTGATCTCTGTCCTTCCTGGTCTGCCAGGTCGTAGGGGCAGAATTTAATTGAACTTAGGGCCGTTTGTCAGTAGGCAGTGGGCAAATGTAAGGAGAAACTCCCATAAAAACTCAGTGGTTTACAGATTGATTTCCCTGTCAGAGCACCAGGCTTAGTAGAAGACTTCTGCCTTCTCTTTTTTTTTTTTTTCTGCCTTCTCTTGAAGACAAGCTAACATTCTGAAGAAGAGAAAGAGTTGTCCGTCAAGCTAGACCCTAAGAAAGGGTCTCCGTTCCCATGGCTGGGACCCTGATATAGACATCTTTGCCATAGAGCTGATGAGTGTCTGATATTTGATACTACAAAGAGCCTTGGTCCTTCGGTGTCAGCTTTTATTCTGGTAGTTAGTGTGGCAGTTTTATCAGCCCCTTGCCTTTTTATCTTGTTCTTCCAGGTGCCTGATACGGAGGACATCTGATATCCTTTCTAAATATCTGCCTGTGAAGATCGAGCAGGTGGTTTGTTGTAGGTACTGAACAACTGAGGGATGTGGAGTGAGTGGGTAAAAAGTCAGCCCCTGAGGTATGGTTGGGCTCTCAAGGTGTCCTCAGAAGGCAGAAGTGTGGTCCTGCATTTCCTGCTGACCAAGCTACTCTTCTTTTTGTTTTTTTTTAAAAGGCTGACACCACTTCAGATTGAATTATATAAGAGGTTTTTGAGACAGGCCAAGCCAGCAGAAGAGTTGCGTGAGGGCAAGATGAGTGTGTCTTCTCTTTCTTCCATCACCTCACTGAAGAAACTCTGTAATCGTGAGTTAGATCCATGCCCTGGGGTCCTCTGTGAAAGTGAGCGAGGAAGGTAGTTCAGCCACCTTTACTGAAACTTGTCTGTAGTCTTCATGGAGGCCACATGTGATTCTAACCCTTCCCAAGGCATAAGCTCATGCACTAGACCAGACCCTTTGCTTTGGAAAATTTAGCTTAGCCTTGCTTGACCCATGTTTGATGCTTGGAGCATACAAGACTGTGCATGAGAGTGTGTGTGCACAAGTGTGCCTATATAATGTTGGATGGGGGGAAAATAACAAACTTTGCCCTCTCTGGTATAACACCCCTCTTGTTGGGAGAACACAGAACACACTAGTGAGCAAGATTGTCTACTCATGATCCCAGGTGGCACTGACTACACACTGGGCTTTGGAAACAAGTCTGGTGCTGAGGAAGGTCTGGGTAGGTTTCTAGAGCATGTTCTAATGAGCACTGAAGTGAAACTTCTAAACCCAGTAGCTGGCAATTTGGAGGGTTTTTTTTTTTTTTTTTCAGATCCAGCTTTAATCTATGACAAGTGTGTGGAAGAGGAAGATGGCTTTGAAGGTACCTTGGACATATTTCCCCCTGGTTATAACTCCAAGGCTCTAGAGCCTCAGCTGTCAGGTGAGTCCTTTCCTGCCAGTCTTTGGGTCCCTCTGGGAAGAGAGATAGGAAGTTGTCTCTTTGTGCTCGATCTATTCCATCTCAAGAGGAAGAATCCTGGCCACTGGGATGGCTCATTGGGGGCTGATAGTTGTTGATCTCCTAGGTAAGATGCTGGTCCTTGATTACATTCTGGCGGTGACCCGAAGCCACAGCAGTGACAAAGTAGTGCTGGTGTCCAATTACACTCAGACATTGGACCTCTTTGAGAAACTCTGCCGGGCCCGAAGGTAGGGAAGAGCTGTCATAGGGTACCTCACCTCCTGTATTCATAGGAAAAACAGGTGTTTGGATTGGTGGATGTGGCCCAAAATGCAGGCACAGGAGGGACTTTCCAGATGTTTGTTCCTTATTGCTCCATCTCCAAACAGAATAGTCCCTGGTCCTTTAGGTATTCCACAGGACAGTCCTGGCCCCTTAGCTCCTTGCCAATCCCTTTGGGAGTTTAGGGTTTCAGGAGAGGTTGGTTCTATCTCTTCAGTAGCTCTGCCTCCAAGGACACTCTACTTTTTTTTTTAATTGGAGGATAACTGTTTTACAATGTCATGTTAGTTTCTGCTGAACAACAGTGTGAATCAGCCATGAGTATACATTCCCTGTTAAACCTCCCTCCCCCTCATCTCACCCCTTTAGGTCATCATAGCACCAGGCTGAGCTCCCTGTGCTATACAGCAGCTTCCCACTAGCTATATGTATATATGTCAGTCAATTTGTCCAACCCTCCCCTTCCCCCTCTATGTTCTGTTTACTTTTTGATTTGATCTTTGGATTCCCCTTCAGGTACTTATATGTTCGCTTAGATGGCACAATGTCCATTAAGAAGCGAGCCAAGGTTGTGGAGCGCTTCAACAACCCATCGGTAAGTGCACGGCCACTGTCCCCATGCTACCAGTGCAATAACATGAAGACTAAAGGTTGATAAAGAATTTATAAGGGGCCCCTGCTTTAGGGTCTCTTTTTTTTTTTCTGGTGGGTGTGGTAGGGTTAGGATAGTTGGTTTATAAAGGTTGTGCTGGGAACTGAGCTTGTGGGCTGATAAATTGGCTGGTAGGCAGGCAAACTGGCAGTCCACACGTGAGAGAACAGTTGGGTGGTCTGCATAAGATTCTTAATTTGGGATATAAGCAGTTCTTTTTTTTTTTCTTTTTCCAGAGTCCTGACTTTGTCTTCATGCTAAGCAGCAAAGCTGGGGGCTGTGGCCTCAATCTCATCGGGGCTAACCGACTGGTCATGTTTGACCCTGACTGGAACCCAGCGAATGATGAGCAAGCCATGGCCCGGGTCTGGCGTGATGGTCAAAAGAAGACCTGCTATATCTATCGCCTGCTGTCTGTAAGGATGGTGATAATGTCCAGAGTAGGGGTGGGTCATGGAATAAGACCTTCAGGATCACCTTGGGTGTTTCTCATTGCATCTGTGTGGCCCCTCTGCCTGTAGTGGTGAGCAGGGTATGGGCTTAGCCTGGAGCCCTTCATTCTGCTCTTTCCCCTCTCTCTACCCTGTTCCTCAAATCCTTTTTACTATGCTCTCTGGATGCCTGTGGATAATAAACTCCCCTATGGCCTCATTCTTTTCACAGGATACTTGCTTTCTCTTAAACCTGATTTCTCCTGTGCCGCTTGCCTTGTAGTCTTCTCACATTCCATCTTTTGGGCTAAGTGGTGGTATTGGCATTCTCCAGGTTCTCAGTGAGCACTCAGACCATCCATCCTATAGTACCTCTTTTGAAGCTCATGTTGCCTTACTTAACTACCCTCTTTTCTTCCTTGCTACACTTATCTACCTTCTGCTGTTTACCTAATTCATTAATAAGTTTGGACATCAGCTCAATCTTCATTACTTCCCCAAGTCCTACTATCATCCTGGTTGACTTCAGGGGCCATGCAGTTTTCCAGCACTCTAGCCTTCATGTTTCCTTGACTTCTACATCTGTTTCAACCTAATGTCCTTAATTACTACTTGCCCCAGTTCCTCCCAATCAGGCTTGACTTCCCTTACTATTCAGCCTGATTCTCCCTGTGCATCCTTTCTGCCACTCTTCCCCTAATACCTAGTCTTGGATCATTACAGCTGTTTGCAGCTTCTGCACCAGATAAAACTTGCATTTTTAGATTGGCACTACCACAAGTTCACATTCTCCATTTTGAGCTGGGCCGTATCTCATTTCCTTCAATAACCACTTCAAGTTTTTCCCACAAGTTTCTTCCTAATCCTATCTTTCCTTCTTTCTGCAGACACGTTGGTCTTCCACCTCACAGGGAAAATGTAGGCTACCAAACCTAAATTCTCTCGCCTACCTTTCTCTGTTCTGTCCGTCTCTACATCTGCTCTTTTTTTCCATTCTCAAATGAGAATCATTTCCTTCCTTTCTACTTGGGACTTATCATTCCAGCTCTGCTCTAGACCCTTTCCCCATTCTTTCCTTAGTTAATTAGTTTCTCCTTTATTCCCCTGATGTCTATGAACATGGTCAAGTAGCTCTCACCTTAAAAATAAGTTTCTCAACCCTCTCTTCCATTGTAGTGACTACCTAGGGTTATTTTCCATTCATTCACTGTCAGATTTTCCCAAAGCCTAGAGATTAATTCATCTCATCTCCTACTCACTAAACTCACCAGTTTTGCCACTGAACCTGCTTTCAGTGTATTATTGACTTCCTAATTACTAAAACAAGAGACTATCACCTACTGTATATTTCTACTTGAATGTCTTGAGTATCCCCTTCTGAATTTTGTCACTTAATGACTGTTATCCATCCAACCCAAATATGAGTATAATCCTGTGAACCATTCTCTGCTTCCTAACCAGATTCCAATTATCATTGATTCTACCTTCTCAAAATGTCCTTTTTTTGTTTTGAAAGGGCATGCATTTTTAAAAAATTTATTTTAATTGGAGGCTAATTATTTTACAATATTGTGGTGGTTTTTGCCATACACTGACATGAATCAATGTCAGTTGATTCCATGGGTGTACATGTGTCCCACCATCTTAATCTAACCTTCCTCACCATCCCATGCTAAAGTCACAGTCATCTCCCACTTGGATTTTGCAGCAGCATCCTAATTCTTTACCTTTGGCCTTATCATAACCCATTTTTCACAACTACTTCCAGAAAGAGCCTTCCAAAAATTCTAGTTTTTGCTTTGTACTTTCAGGACAAGGCCGAGCTCTTTAGCCTAGCATCCAAGTTTCTACAGTATGGGACTTTCTCAGTAGGCCAGGCTTATTGATTTTGTTCTTATGCCTGGAATGGCTTCTGTTCTGTTTTTCTTTGTAAACCATCTATTCATTTTTCAAGATTCAGCTTAAAGATAATCTTTACTTTCAAGCTCTTCAACATTATTTCACACTACTGTCCCTCCTGTGGGTCACGAATTCTGTCATTGTACCAGTTAGTTTATATGTTTCTGTCTCACTAGTCTATGAGTTGAAGGATAGGGATCATATTGATTCTTCTTTCTGTCTGGTGTTAGCACAAGACCTGGCATATCATACCCAAATGACATTTACTTGAGTGAGTGAGACTTGGGCTTGGTGTGGAGGTCAGATAACGCTGCTGCAGGTAAACCTCAGCTCATCCTAAAGAAATTTAGCCAGGTCCTGAAACCCTCTATCGGTATAGAAAATATCCTGGGTGGGCAGACATGTCCAAATTATATTCCCAAAAGGTAGACTAGGAGAATGGACTGAGCTGATCAGAGGTTATTGAGGCAAGACTCTTACTTCTCATCTCCCCTTCTGTGCAGCTATAGTTTCAACCCCTGGGTTTTCCTGCCCCCTATGTATGGAGGTGACTTAGCCCTGGGCTCCACCCCTGCCCCCACCCCCCAGGCAGGAACCATTGAGGAGAAGATCTTTCAGCGTCAGAGCCACAAGAAAGCACTGAGCAGCTGTGTGGTGGATGAGGAGCAGGATGTGGAGCGACACTTCTCTCTCGGCGAGTTGAAGGAGCTGTTTACCCTGGATGAGGCTAACCTCAGTGACACACATGACAGGTGGGTGCGGTGCCCCTGCTGGCCATTATGTCTGAACACGCTGCTACACAGCATGGAGCTGGGACCCACTGTAACCACAGTTCTATCCTCTGCCCCCAGGTTGCGCTGCCGCCGCTGTGTCAACAACCACCAGGTCTGGCCACCCCCTGATGGTTCTGACTGCACCTCAGATCTGGCTCAGTGGAACCACAGCACTGATAAGCGGGGGCTCAAGGATGAGGTACTCCAGGCTGCTTGGGATGCTGCCTCCACTGCCATCACCTTTGTCTTCCACCAGCGTTCCCATGAGGAGCAGCGGGGCCTCCACCTTTAACCAGCTGGTCTGGTGTGTAGCTGTTAGAGGAAAGAGATGGGGAGAGGGGACTCCCTGTCCAATAGGGCACTGTTGAATTTTGTTCTCTGAGAGAAAAATCAAGAAGGGCTGCATGATGTTTGCCCAAAATTTATTTTATAAGAAAAACTTTTTGGTTAAAAAAAAGAAAGGAATAAAAGTATGAAAGGGACTGAGGCCTGGAAGCAGCATGGTAAGCCCAGCAGAGGAGAGGCCTGGTAATGGGCACTCCTATACGTCACTAAAGCCTGGGTACCTGCTTGAGAAAGGAAAGCAGGAACCCTGGGGCAGGAAAGGGGATGGGGGCTGTCCTCAGTGACTGATGACCACTGAAACCTCCTGGCCCAGGGTACTGGGTGTGGGAATCCCAGGTGTGGGAATGCCTTTGCTGGGCCCCATCAAGGCCTCCAGGACCTCAGTGCAAGGGAAAAAGGAAAAAAGAGAAAAAAGGTAGCAGAAAGAGACAGAATTGGTGGTTGGGAGTTCTGGGCAGCCCATGCCTCAGCCCCTGCAAGCTGATGGTACTGAGCATGGGCCTATGAGGCATGGGCCCATCACATGGTGCTGACATAATCTGCGAAGGCTTGGGATGAGTCCCATGAGTCGCTAACCACATGGCAGGTGGCCCGGAGCCGCCGGATGGCTTCCCTGGCTGTGACTGCATCCTGGTCCAGCCAGTTCTGGAAGAGGCGCAGGTGACCAAAGGCCCCACGGCCCCAGCGCTCCAGCCGCTTGGCGAACTCCAGAAGCCCATCTGGCTTGATGCAGTTGGAACTGGTAGGGGTAAGGAACAGAAACCCAGGAATCAATTAATCCCCAGTCTGTGTCCCTGCAGTTTTATCCCTTGTCATTCCCCACTCCCACGGGTACCTGATATCCAGCTGACAAAGAGAGGAGGATGAATCTTCTGAGAAAACATCTGCCAGGGCCAGTAGGCCAGCATTCCCTGAGGAGATGGGGAGAAATGCTCATCACCTTTACCCCAGAATAGGAAATAAAGGTATCCCAACCCAATTCTGGCTGGAGAGAAGCTCAGCCTCCTAAAGCCCCAGCACAACTATATCCCAACTCCTGTCTTCCCAGTGGAGAGGTCTGTGCCTTCACCCACTGAGTTTCTAGGTCAGAGGACTGGCTCCTTCCCCCTCCCTCCTCAGGGCCCTGTCCCCACCCAGGCGGTTCCCTGGCAGCCGGAGGCCCTTCAGTGTGGAGTTGCCCTTCATAGCAGCAACCATCTCGGGCAGAAATTGGGCTGGGCGCTTCTCAAACAGACGGCAGAAGGAGAAGGTAATCTCTGTAAAGAAAAATTGGAATAAGTTCTGGTGGCAGCCTGAGGACTGGTGCTGCCCCACCTGCCCCCAGGGCCGTAAAAAGGGTTATAAGCATTTTATAGAGTCCCAGAAGAAGAAAATAATTTGTCCAAACCCTCAAGCAAGGTTGCAACTAAGTCAGGATTCAAACCAGAAACTGAGCCTATGGGGAGACTCTCTAGATGGACAGTTCTCCATTCACTTCCTTTTATGCAAGGGTGGACATTAGTGACAAGTCTATGAGGGGGGCCTGATAGTACATTTATCCCTTCCCACCACCATCATTTCTGTCAGCTAGTGGAAGGTAAGAAAACTTTTAGGTGAGGTACTCTACAAGTGAATAATTTCCCATGTTTAGTTTAAGAAGGGTTAGGTTGGGGACCTTCTACAAGGAAAGGTGATGCAGGTTCTATAATTTTATAGTTATGAGGATGTAAGACTAAGAACAGAACAGTGGCTTGTTGACTCAGTGAGACTGTGGCAATTCTGCAGTGAGGACCAATGAGTCTCTGGGTTCTAGATGAAGAACTTACCTTGAAGAGTCAGATTCTGTAGCAAAAAGAGCACCTCACTCTGACAGTCAGCCAGATTCATGTCGTGGAAGCTCAGCCTCTTTAGGGTTAGGTTGTACTCTGGATTGGGAGAAAGTTCATGGACCTTAGCTTTCCCAAAGAACAAAGTCCCCTTCTATTCTTCCCTTTATCATTCTAGCTGGATCATACCTTTGAGTGTCTGCAACACAAGCCCAAAATCTTGGGGAGATGCAAAGGTGGCACTATCCAGGGACAGTTGCTGCAGAGAACCTGAGGCCTTCAGTACAGAGCAAAGCAGTGGGGCTGGCTGGGCTCCCCGTGGAAATCCCATCTCCAGCTGTTCCAGGCAGTTTTCTAGATATGGTAGGAAGAGAAGATTCCAGCTGGTTGTATCTACTTCACTCCCATTGCAGGTCTCATCCTGTCCTTAAGGGATTCACTGAAAAATCATTTATTCATCTACTTGTCCTTGAGTACCTATATATGCTGGGCAGTATGCTAATACACAGTTTAGTCCTTGGCCGTTATAACAGTGCTTTTAATCCAAGACTACTCAGACACAAGAATAATAAGAGTATGCAGAATGGTGGGCTCAAGTGGCACTAGTGGTAGAGAACCTGCCTGGCAATACAGGAGACATAAGAGACGTGGGTTTGATCCCAGAATTGGGAAGATCCCCTGGAGAAGGAAATGGCTACCTACTCCAGTATTTTTGCCTGGAGAATCCCATGGACACAGGAGCCTGGTAGGCTGCAGTCCATGGGAGTCACAAAGAATCAGACACAACTGAAGTGACTTAGCACATGCAAAATGGTAGAATATGAAACACATAGGAACTAAGGGAACATATAGCATGGGGACCCATCAGTTTGGTCAGTTCGGTTCTTGGTTCAGACCCCTTTCTGGAGTGGATGTGCCAGTGACTCCCTATTACGCTAGTGTTGGTCTGAGATCTGTCCAACCCATGGTTATCTTTAAAACTGAAATTCACTCAGTCGTGTCCAGGTCTTTGTGACCCCATGGACTCTACAGTCCATGGAATTCTCCAGGCCAGAATACTGGAGTGGGTAGCCTTCGCTTCTCCAGGGGATCTTCCCAACCCAGGGATCAAACCCAGGTCACCTACATTGCAGGAGGATTCTTTACCAGCTGAACCAGCAGGCTCTAAAGGGAACAGATTATAGATAAGCCAGGAATGTGGTGGTTTAGAGGCCTGGATTAGAAATGTTTTGCCTGGCCCAAACAAATACACCTGCACATTTGTGAGGAAATATACACACACAATGAATGCTTCACCTGGTATCTCCTCATCCCCAATTATGTTGCTAGGGGGCCCTGCATTCCCAGGCACAGCTGGGTTGTCCCTCTGGCTGGGGTGGTCCACACGGATAGAGAGGACCCGCAGCAGGGGCAGGGCTCGCACAATGGCACGTGTCAGCTCCAGGATGGGCAATGGTGAGAACAGGTCACTGAGATGCAGGGCACGGAGGCGGCATCCAGCCTGGCCTGACAGGGCCCGCAGGCTGTCCAGCAGACGGAAGATATTAGAGCCCAGGCCTATGGCAGGAAAGACATTAGATCAATCGTGGGAGTTACATCAGGGATAACATTCAGAGGCAACTTTAGATATTTCTATTGATTAAACTATCAAATCTTCAGATAAGATTATTTTCAGTGATTCTCGATTATTCATCCATTGTCTTGCTTTTTCCTCAGGTAACCAGCCGACTGGTGTCTACTCTACTGAGTCATGCCCTCAAGCATCAGTCAGGCCAGAGTCACAAAACATGATAGAATGTGTGGCAGCTTGTGGCTGCTAGCTGAATGATGGGCCTAGGAAACAGCAGAGACCTCTGGACTTTTCTTGTAGGTCATGGGTAACATCTAAAACTAAGCTGGAGAATGACAATGATCCAATAGGGAATACTTTAAAAGCGTCATTGGGTAGGAATGGGGCAGAAAACTATATCCCACAGAAGGGAGTAGGATCAAGAAAGGTTAGGGTAATTAATGCCACAAAGCAAGTAATTCTGTGGAAGCGACACCTTTATCTCTGGACTGAGCAGGCTCCTGTTGAGTCATTTAACTAAACCTTAACTAGCCCTTGGTAAAACCGTTGTTTTTTTTTTTGCTAGACAAGTCATGAGCAGCAGATCTTGTTCCTACCTGCTAACAAAAGCATGTGATGGGAACTGGGGAAATAGAGTACTGTGAAAAAATAAAAGGATGGGTACTTAACACCCAGGCTAGCTTACATCAGTAAAGACTTTCCAGGAAGGTCCTAAACATAAAAGAGGCTAAAAGGCAGAAGAAGAGTGACTGGCAGAGTGAACTTGGCATATATCAAGACCTGAAGGAGAAAGCAGGTTCTAAGAACTGAAAAATTCTCAATGTGGCTGGTATATGAAGTATAAGGGAGGGAAGTATTCAACTATAGAGGTGAGCAGGGGTAAGAACATGAATGACCCTGTAAGTAAAACTTAAGTAGGTGACAAGAAGCCACTGAGTTTTTAGATGAATGAATGACCGATTTGCACATTGAAATTACTTGGATTGTGGCATAAACAACTATGGTGAGTATGGAGGAACTGCTGAAATGATGAATCCAGGTGAGAAGTAATGATGTGAATCAGATGTGGAGATAAGTGATTCTGAGAGGTTATAAAGATACAACTTGTATCTTTAATATATGTGGAGTAAGAGATGTATCTTTAATGTATGTGGAGTAAGAATCCAGGTTTCTTTTGGGCAACTGAATCATCTGTGATGTCACTGAGAACAGAAGGAAGAGGATCCGTTCAGCTTGGGGAATGTGTTTTATAAATACTGTGATTCCTAGTTGTCAGATGGAAAAACTGGTCTGGAGTTAAGATATGTGCTAATGTCAAAATGGAGGTGTCTTCACCATGGTTGGCCTTTGAAATCAAGGAAATGGACAAAATTGTCCAGGAAACACGTAAAGTGGGAGAGCTTTGAGAAACTCTGAATATTAAGGCAAATACTGTCCAGAAAGGGAGAAAAAGTCAGGAAATTTTGAGGTAGTAGAAGTGAGACTTACATGAAGAAGAAAATGCAGAATCAAGAATATGAGGACTAGAAAGTATATACTGGACTTAGCAACATGGATAACCTTGGTCACAATGCAGTAGAGGGAGTGTAAGCAAGCCTGAAGTGGCTGTGAGTAGAAGAAAGCACAGATGACTCTTAAGGTTGTCTGTGAAGGTCAGGAGAGAATAGGACAGTAGTTCATAAGTAGAACATGGAGGAGGTATGGTGGTAGTTTTTGGTGGATACCTGATCCAGAGAAGAGAGGCAGCATTAAGTAGTTAGTGCTTTAAAAGCATGAATCCTGGAGCCAAGTTACCTGGGTTTGAATTCTAGGTCTATAATTTATCGACTTATCCTGGGCAAGTCACTGTAAAGTGACCCTTGTAAGCTTCACAACTGTAAGGATTAAACCAGTTAATAAAGAATATTTAAAGTATGCCAGGCATGTAATAGGCAGTATATAAAAGTTCTTATTAAGGCATTTGAAAAACAAGCTTTCCTAGGGAGGTGAGTGTATGGATCTGGAGCACAAGCAGATGAATTAGCCTTAGGACAGCCATTTATCCCATTGTGATGAAAAGAGTGCAAATGCATAAGTTTATAGGTTGGTTAACAAGTTGAAGGAGTTCATGTGTGATGGCTTCTATTTTCTCTGAAGCAGGTGAGTTTTGCTAGGAAAGGAAAAGAGGAAAGGATTTGGGAGTAGGAATGGAGCTAACATTGCAAACAGGGTTCATATGAGCTTGATGACCAGGAATGTATATAGTGCACCAATCTGCAATTGTGTGACTTCAGCAGCATTCAGCAACGGGCAGATTCCTGGGTTTAGTAAGAACTGAAGTTTGGCTAGCTGGGCACAACAAGGTGGGCAAGAACTGAGGACTGTTAGGTTGCTGGTCTGATCTTTAAAAAAAAAAAAGTGTCCCACACCTTTTTGTACAGCTCCTTTGATATGATAGGTAAGATCCAATCTCAGCCCTCTCCTTGGGCCTATATGTTATATTTTCCCACCTGCCCTTGGTTAGCCTACTATATCTAAAGTAGACTCTTAAGATTCTCACTGCTCCTCAGGAACCCCTGCTTCCAACTAGATCAAGCCATAGTAGCACTGAGTCTGCCACTAAGTCTCCTCCCTGAGGTGGGTAGGGCCACACCTCTGGCTTCCTGATCATAGCCCCTCTTCCCCCCAACAGGGTTGGGCACAGCTGGTGCTGCTGGGAGACCAAATCTCAGCCCTCCAGGGCACTCACCATTATAGGAGAGTGTGAGGCTCTCCAGAGACACCCAGGAGCTCAGCAGGTGGCACAGTGTCAGAGCCGCCTCTGTGGAGAGTGGAACTGTGAAAAGCTCCAAGGTGGAAATGCTGCGGAATCGTTGGGAGGCTTCCAATGCTGGAAGCCCCAGGCAGCTGGGATCTGATCCATCCAAAGCTCCACAAGCCACTTCCCCAATCTCCATCTCTTCCCCATCCTCTTTCTCACCCGCCACAATGAAAACAAAGTCATACAGGTCTTCAGATTCTGCGCCACACCCCTGACGGGTGCGAGCACCCTTCTTCCCTGCAGCTCGCTTAAAACGCTTTAGGGGTTTAGGCTGTGGGGCTGAGCTGGCTGGAGCCCGTTTAGATGAGGATGTGGAAGAAGAAGCAGAGGCAGAGGAGGTGGTAGCTGGAGCAGAGGGTGGACGTCTGGTGCCAGGAGCCTCATGGGAGGCGGCTGGAGGGAGTGGCTCCCTCTTATTAGAGTCTGTGCCGCCTGCTGTCAGGCTCTCCTGTGTGCTCCGGCGTGTTACCCGAGTGGCAGGTGCAGCTCTGGCCGTCTGCTTGGCTTCACTCTTACGCCGGGAGGCCATCAGAGCTGCAGCACATCGCTCAGCAGCATCTCGGCGAGGCCGGCGTGAGCCCAGCAAAAGGGACCCTTCATCTCGGGATGGGGCCCGGCCTCGGGAGGCCTCTCCACAGAGGCGGCAGGGCGGACCACCAGGGCCTGGCTGCCAGAAGCCAGCACTCATGGTGAGGATAAGAATGAAAAGGGCTGACTCGGGCACAGGCCAGGAGTACAGTGACACCTGGTTGACAGCCCCATGGTGAATAAGCTGATGTAACAGCTGCCTAAGTGACTGCTGAGCAGCCACATCGGAGAACAGCAAGTGGCGGAACTTAAGGGTGTGCAGGGAACTGGCCAGGGTCTCCAGAACCCTGCGGTTGGGCTCGGCCACCAGCTCAGTTGCACCCTGCAGCATGTTGCAGATGGTGAGCTGCCGGACGTGGCGGGAACTATGCAGGAGAGGTGAGAAGCGCTGGTCACAAAGACGCCTGTCAGAAGACACATCAATGGTCCCACGTAGAACATGGGAAAAAAAGGCCTCCATAAACTTGGCTCGCCAACAGGTCACGCTCTGAAAAGCAAAGAACATTCCAGACAGCTGTGATACTAAGTGCTACCCATAGGATCCAGTTTCCTTTCTTCCAATAGCTAGCTATTTACTAAGCCAGGTAATGTTCTAAATAACATGCAAGTTCATTTAATCACATCTTTGAGGTATATATTACTATTAGATCCAATTTATAGGTAAGAAAAACAAGACACAAATGTTATTGCCTGTGGTTACATAATTAAGCTGTAGGATTAAGATTTGAAACCCAGGAGGGAATTCCTTGGCGGTTCAGTGGTTAGGACTCTGAGCTTTCACTGCTAGTGGCCCAGGTTCAATCCCTGGTTGGGAAGTAAGAATTCCACAAGCTGTGTGGTGCAGCAAAAAACAAAACCTGAAACAAGGAAATTTGGTTCCAGAGACAATTTTGCCAAAATGTCTCTCAAGTGAAATACTTCTGTAAGTTGTTTCACATTTGTTTTTAGCATCTGATCCTACCTTTTCATTCTTATCATTGCCACCTTTGTTCAGCCCCTTATTACCTAACACCTGGTACTTCATTAGCTTCCTGATTGCTCTCCTTGTTTCCCTTCCCAAACTTTTGCACAAGTCCATTGGGTTAATCTTTGTAATCAAAAATAACTCTGATTATACTATTCTCCAATACCCCTATTGAACCCCACTGCCAAGGGCATCAGGGCAGCAGCACATTTGAAGTTCCTCAAAAGCCTGGCAGGGAAAGCTGTCCACAATATGGCCTCTGCCTACCTGAGAAGCTGTATCTCTCACTTGCTCATGAAAGCTCTGCTTTGGCAAAACTGGTCACCTCACGGACCCAAACCTGCCTTTGTCCTTTCCTACATCTGCCAGAAATGCTCTCCACTGCCTGGTCAAACAGACTCCCTGAAAGGACCTATCAACATTTTGCTCTTTGAGGCTGTTCATTTCTCCCTAAGGTTGTAGATCTCACTGACTGCCCCCCCCCCCTTACTACTCCACCTCCTACTTCTTTTGGAACTCATACTCGACTATTCATGTCTTTTGGTAATGGTAACAATGGTAAATATGTCTCATGGTGTTGTCACTCTGCCTGTGTACATCATGTCTCATCCCAACCAGATTAGAAATTCCTGGAGAGGAGGGACCAAGTCTTAGTTTTCTCCAAGGCAATACCTAGATGGATAGGAGGTTTCACCAGGCTATGCTGATACATTTAGGAGAACTCTGAACACAAGTGATTTTTAACCTTTGGAATACATCAAACTTACTGTGGACTTTTTCTCCAAAATTCATATGCCATGTACCCAGACTTGGGGATTACATCTGAGGTAAGATCCAAGCATCTTTATTTTCAAATCTCTCCCCAGATGATTCTGATGTATATAACAGATTAGAAACTACTACCTACCTCAAAAGGACCTGCCAACCTCAAAAGGCAAATACTTCTCTAAATCCCCATTCTCTCCTAAGGTGCATAGAAAGTCTGATGACAAAAGTGCCAGCTCTGCCACATACTCAACCTCTTCGAACCTCTTCATTTGTAAAATGTGGATATCACCTTCACAGGTTTGTTGTAGAGATCAAATGAGACAGTGTAAGTGTAAATTAAAGCACTTTATAAACTTTTACAGTTTATAATACAAAATGTAACTTTACTGTTAATGATAATTACTCTACATGGGAAATGGACTTCATGGAGGCAAAGCCTGTTAAGCAGGGTGCTTATTCAGCCTGAAGCAAAGGTAGTAGGGGCCTGAGGTTCCTCAAATCTAAAAATAAGACACTTCTTTTGGCTTCTACCCTACCTCCATGCATTCCTCCTACCAGATTGACCCTCAAAAGAGGTTCTTGTCAGGAGCTAGGCTCCTATTCTCAGGCAAAAGTGTCATTCCCTTTGCTTGAGCTGTTGCCTGAGAGTGCTGTAATAATCAGGATTGACTTCATGTTTGAGCTAACTGGATGGCAGCAATAAGAAAGACCCCTTAGCAGCAGTGTGGGGGCACGAGGGGAGCAGGAAAAAAATATCTGGCATCCAAATCTCTACTTAGCCTTAATGGAAGTAAAGAATGTATTCCTGAGTCCTTCAATCCATCCTCACTCAACACATTTTTCACATATTTGCTGGCCCACACAGTCTTGAAAGATAACTTGCAGGTAATCCTAGCAAGGTTTCAACTTCACAAGTGAAGTAGATGGGTTACTATGAGATCTGGGTCTAAGATAACGGACAAATGTGAAAATCAAGGTGTAAGTTTCCAACTATAAGGCATGTGTAATATGAACTTTAGATAACTAAATACTTGGGTTTTTCAGACATTTTATTGGTTCATGAAGACAATGGGAGAGAATACTTGAAATTGGAACACCTCAGGCCTGTGATAACCAGTGAAAGCAACATGACATAGTGATTAAGAGCATGTGCTCCAGAGCCTGGCTGCCACAACTGGATAGGTCTGCCATTCACAGACTGAAACTTCAGGCAAATCACTTTTCCTGTTTGTTTCATCATATATAAACAGGAAGATAACTATACCTACATGATAGAATTATGAAAATCAAATGTGTAAAATTAGCTGATGACTATCAATGGGTCCTTTTTGATGAATTAATGCATAAGTAGATAGCAACTCACTGTCACACGTCATCAAAAAGGTGAAGTGGCATTTGCTTACCAACACAACTAATCCTTAGCCCATCCACAATGGGCTGGTAGCTCAGGTACTGGTCAGGAAGAAATGTGTGTACAAACCAGGGAGAGCTAAATATTTTCTTGTATTAAACTTTTAGAGCCATACTCAAACTATACTGTCCATTGTTTTTCTGATAACAGGAATAGTTTATGGAAGCAAATAAAAAATCATGTGTAAACAAACTTTTTGGAGTGTATATGTGACAAGCCATAATAGGTATTTGTGTTTGTAACACTGAGACAATTCTGAACATTTTCGAATTCTGGGCTTTAAAAAAAAAAAAAAGATTATACTACCACGTCATTAAACATTTTTACCACTATGTACTTAACTATTTCTAAAATGACTTTATTAATATTTTGAAAATATGAATGTACTATGTTTAATAATTTCTATATTATTGAATATTTAAATTGTTTATAACTTTTTATATTAAACTTTGCTATAATGAACATCTGGAAATAAATCATGAGTATCTCAGTTTTTATATACCATAAAATATAATTTTAGTTGAAGAATTTGAGCATTTTTTAAAAGACTCTTGACAGTTATCACCAGATTACCCACCAAGAAAGTTTTTGTATTTCTGCTCCCACCAATAACATATTAAAAACGCAAGTTCTGCCCACCCCTGGAATTATCTTTTAAAGAGGTATAATTTTAATTTCCCATTTTTTATTATTAATGAAATTGAACATTTTTTTACTTTATTGGAAATTTTTGTATACTTTGTGACTTATCCAAATCTTTATTCATTTTATTTTACTGTTTGCCTTTGTCTTATTCTGTATCCTTTTATTTTGCAAATATTGGTGCAAACATTCATAATTTCCTAGTTTATGCACCTTTTAAATTGTGTTTGGGCTTCCCTGGTGGCTCAGACCGATAAAGAATCTGCCTGCAAAGACCTGGGTTCCATCCCTGGGTTGGGAAGATGCTCTGGAGAAGGAAATGGCAACCCACTCCAGTATTCTTGGCCTGCAGAATCTTTCACTAAATTGTGTTTATAGTGTTGGCATTTTATGTGGCCAAATGTGTCTCTCTCTCTCTCTCTATATATATATATATATATGTATTTTGTTCTACCCATTTACTAGTACTCTCTACCCTGAGACTAGATAACCAGTCACCTTTATTTTTAAAAATTGTTTTGTGCTTTTACTTTTTACAAAGTAATCTTATATAGAAATTGAGTATACTGTAAAGTGAAGCTCTTTTTTTTTTTACATTTTAAATTTATCTTTTAATTGAAGGACAGTTGCTTTACAGAATTGTGTTGGTTTCTGCCAAACAAGACTGTTAACTTTATTTTTTCCAAATGGTTAACCAGTTACTAGAGAACAATTTATTGAATAATCCTTTATTTCCTCATTGCTTTGTTTCCAGAATCTCTCTCTTATTCTACAAATCTCTTAATATACACAAATACTAGTACTACACAGTTTGAAATATTATTGCTTTATAGTAGGGCTATGTCTATCTTGCTCACCACTGTATACTTAGAACCCAGTATAGTGCCTAGAACTATACAGTCACTCAACTGTTTGATTATGAAGTGAAGGTTACTGTTATGCAAAAGTGGGAAGTGGAAGATGACACCCTCTGGAATGGATATGTTCCAAGTTAAGACCTTTATGTAGGTGACTGTGAGGCCATCAGGCCTGGGGCTTCCTAAATATTCTGAAATACTGAGACAAGGAAACAGCTAACAAACAGATATTTCTTTCCAGGAAGCTTGAGATAATGGTGGAAAAAGCTTTCTCAGAGAAAGATATTACAATCTCCATCACTTCCTAGTCAACCATACTACTTGGGAAACACTGTGACAAAGTGAGTCATATTTCTTTTAAGACTGCAGAAAGCTATTTCCATTCTCTAACATTCTTGTGTCCATTTCTCTTCCTCTTAAGGCCTAAATCCTGTACATATGCCTGATAATTTCACTGGGCCTCAGTGTCTGTGCTGAACTCCAGGGACTGCAACTAGATCTGGAAGTGGGAAGCTAAAGGATATGGAGCTGAATGTTACTGAACCTAGTGTATACTTACAAAATAAATCTGCAGTTCCTGATAAGAGCGTGTTATCTTGTCATTTGGCCTCATTCACCATGTATCGCCCAATTCAAATGATTACTTCCTAAGAAGACTTTCTTGTTCTCTTTTCCTTTAACCTCCTTGCTACACTCAGTCATACGACTTGCCCTGCCATACATGATGTATTTGTTTGTAGATTTCCCCAGTAAACTGATAGTTTCTCAAGACTAGGGATTATGTCTATACTTAAAATATTTAGCATAAGACATGGTATGTGGTAAGCTGGAGTAAATATTTATTGAACTTAGTCTGTCCTGTCAACTGATTATGCAGCAGCAAGAGATGAGAGCTCTGGTGAGTTATATCTGAACCAATGAATAATAGAATCTTAGGGCTAAGAGGAGTCCTAAAAGTCATCTTGTCCAACATCTCCAACAATGCTGAATTTCTTTTATAATACCCTTGGGTCAGGTGGTTATCTAGACCCTATTAAACACTTAGTGATGGGAAGCTTATTACTTCTGGAATTAGCTTGTTTCATCACCAATAAGCTCACAGTTTAAAAATTCTACATTCAGCTTAGCAAAAGTTTGTCTTCCTTTAGCTTCCACCCAGAACAAACCTATTAATCCCTCTTTCAGATATTTCAAGACAGTTCATACTGCTCAAGTCTTCTCTTTTTCAGGAAAAACATCTCCAGTCTTCCAAATGTGACTCACATGATGTGGCTTTGACTTCTTTCTCCATACTCCAGGGATAGCCTGACCACTGCAGAGTCAAGCAGGTTTATCATCCCCTGTGTCCTTCAGTCTACATTATAGTTACATTAGTTCACACAGTTCAGGATACAGTCATTATATGAGTGGCTTCAGCACACTGTAGACTAAACCCCCTTAATCTTTTTAATACTAGCTGCTGCTAAGCCAGACTCTCCACCCACTACCCTGAGGTCATGAAATTGGAATTTTCTAGACTCAAGAGTTAAGTTTATTCTGTTCAATTTCATCCTGTTAGGTTTGACCATTGTTCCAGCCCTATCAAGACCTGAATCCAGGTTCTGCCGTCCAACATGATCACTATCTTTCCCTGTTTTATGTCACCTGCAAACATGGTGAACAAGCAAGTCAGTGACAAATGTTTAACAGGAAAGAACTTTGTGACAAGCCATTGGAGCCCCCTTCTCAAATTCATTCCATGCCTGCCCCTGCACTTTACCGGTACCCAGCTTGTGTTTGTGTGCTATTCCTGCTTTCACCATGCAAAGTCAGGCCAGAGTTCTACCTGGTGCCTTAACTTACTTCCAAACTGGAAGGCCTTGTCTTCATCAGCTCATCCCATAGTCGGCGCCAAATGGCCTGAGTGGAGAGACCTGTAGAGAGAAACATCCCATTTACTTGGCTGCTCCTTGGTCTCCATGACTGAAGTACATCAGCCTTTCAATGTCCTTTTCTAGGTTCACAGGAGCAATACGGCAGACAGGTAAAGAGCACTGGCTCTAAAGACAGACTGTTTGGGTTTAAATATCAGCAAACCATAGTCTAGCTGTGTGACCTTGAGCAAGTTACTTAATTTTTCTGTACCTCAGTTTCATTATCTACAAAATGCAGTTAATAATGATTTTGCAGAATTGATGAAAATATTAAATAAGTTTCTCCAGATAGACAGCCTAAGACAGTGCTTGAGACAAGGATGAATGATAGCTGTTAACATGTATTAAACAAGGAGCTTAGGAGGTAGTCTGATAAAACAGAAAAACTAAAATTTCAAAAGATCTGGGCTCGGGAATTCCCTGGCAGTCCAGTGGTTAGGACTTGGTGCTTTCACTGCCAGGGCCTGAGTTCAATCTCTTGTTGGGAAACTAAGATCCCTCAAGCCATGAGGTAAGACCAAAAAAGCCCAAAACAAAAGATCTGTGTTCTACCTGGCTTTGCTCTTAATTGTGGTGTGCCTGTGGTTTCATTTTTATTAGTATAATGGGGGTCAGATACTTGTTTTGTGTTTCACAGGACATTGAGAAATTAGATAGGAAAATAGATGTGAGGGTACTTTTTGAAAAGCATGAAGTTCTATGCAGGTATCAAGTGTCATATTTACCTGAAGAACATTATGGTGCCTTGCTTACAATCACTGAGAAAGAGACAGAAAAACACTCACCTTTCTTGAGGGCAGTTTCCTCAATCCTCTCCAAGTAATATATATTGAGCAGAGGTAAGATGCTTTGAAGTATTGGGCCTGGGAGGGCTACAAAAACCAAACACAAAATTTACTTTTTTCTCCCAGGGTTGCAAGCATTATTTATTCTATTGGAAAGGAAAACAGAAAGACAGACTTCTCATTTGACAAGTAGAACCTTTAGAAGCTAACCTAAGTCTAAATCAAACTCTGGTCCACGTATCTTCAGACACTTAGTTCACAGCGGGAATTTCAGAGGCATGCACATCTTCAAGGGTGAGATAATCCCACAAAGCAAGCAGATGGGCTCATTTAGGAGCTGGCAGTTCACTTCTGCCCAAGCATAATCTGCCCAAGCATAATGAACCATTCTGCATTTAAAAGGTCCTATTGAATATGTGTGATTAAAAAAAGTCCTTTATAATATGAGCCCTACTAACTTCTCCAGCTCCCTGCTTTGCCCCCTATACTTCAGTCATACTAAACTACCTTTTTTCATTTATCTATCTCCCTGCTTTCTGCCTTTGTTATGCTGTTCTCTCCACCAGGAATGTTCTTGCCATTTTCAGCATATCAACTACTCATCTTTCATGTATCACATGCCCTTTACTAAGCCTTTCCTGAATTCCCTTCTCACTCTTCCAGACTGGCCACTTCCATCCTTTGGGCTCCCATTGTACCCTGAACTAGCACTTTCCTATGAAGAATAGAAATAATTAGGTTCTATACTCTTAATTCAATATATCTTAAAAACAAAACTCGTTCCTGCTAACTTCCCTAGATCTGAGAGGCATTACAATATTGTGGCTAAATGGTATAGTCTCTAGAATTGGACAAAACTGGGTGAAATCCTGATTGCATCACTTAGTTAATTATGAATTCATGGACAAATTAATGTCTTTGAGCCTCAATTTCCTTAATTTTAAAATGGAGATAATAATAACTACCTCTTAAGATGGTTGTGAAAATTAAAGAAGACCATACTTGTAGACTCGAAGAGACCAGACTTGAAGACTGTACCTGGCCATAATTTCACAAAACTTTAGCTATTATTATTCCTATTTTGTCAAAAGTTTCTCTGTCCTGCCAAGAAAAAGTTTCAAGATCTTGATACCTAAGGAAATTCTTTTAAAACTTACATTCCAGGATCTTTTATCCTTACTTGTGCAGTAACTGAATCCTGATATCCAGCTTAGTATAATTCTTTGTACATAGTAGGTACTCAGTGTACCCTCTGAAGAAAAGCATTAATTCTGTATGCTAATATACTAATGAAATCTTTCTACTGCATTCAAGATAAAGTGCAAGTTCCATATACTGGCATTCAAGGTGTAACATACCTATTCTATTCCTCATTATATCCTTTCCTGCTGCCTCTACTCATTTTCGCCTTCTCTCTCCCTACACAAAGAAATGCTAGTGCACTACTTCCAGGAAGGCTTTCTTGGCTGTTAGCCCACACTGAGACCTTGCTCCAAAATAGCACTGCTAGCAGGCCTCTTACTTCACCCTTCTAAGAGGCCTAACTTGATTCAGCTGTTTCTGTGTGACTGTCCACCTGGGCAAGGCCCATGGGAGCTCTTCCTCCTCTGTGCCTCCAATATGCTTCTCTCTGCATAGCCATCCTCTTTCACAGAGATTACCATCCCTATTATTCACAAACTCTTCTCTACCTTTCCTCATCTTCCTAAGCCAGGCTCTTCCTTACTTCTTTCTGTGTGTGTATGTCAGTTGTGTCCAACTCTGCAACCCCATGGACTGTAGCCCACCAAGGTCCTCTGTCCACAGAATTTTCCAGACAAGAATACTGGAGTGGGTTGCCATTTTCTCCACCAGGGGATCTACCCGACCCAGAGATCGAACCTGAGTCTCTTGCTTCTTTCTATCTCATATCTTTAATGCTTTGCTGTCCCAACTTGGGAACTTCACCCTCAGTCCTAGTCCCTCTTAGTCAGGTTTAGCATTCTAGAAGCTCTGGGCTGACACAGCCAGATCCACTGTATCTTCTTCCAAATTCCCCAGGACTTTTCTGTCTCCTGCCCAGCTCCACTGGGACTTTTCTCCCATTCCTCCGGTCAGCCTGAACCTATTCTTTTTAGTTGTTGGTCCAGGGCCTCCACAATCCTCTCCCCCTCACCAGGCCTGAGGACTGCTAAGTCTTCCCTCACCAGACAAGACATTTGGGCTTCTTTAGGAAGGGTGCCCCACCCCCACTTCACCAAAGGCCTTCCTACATCCTTGAACCTCCTTAATCACTCCACAGCTTTGGGGCTTATTCCTGAAGGTCCAGCTCCCCAAACTTCAGGGTCTTTTCTCCACATCGGCCTCTTCAGGGTGTAATCCAAATCCCCCATCCCAGGAATGAGCCCTGACTCCTGACCTTATGGGAGGCCTTCCTCAGGCCTTCCTCCAGGCAAAGACACCACCACACCCGCTGAGGCCTACAGTAGACCCTCTCACCGCCAGGGCCTAGGGCCTCCTCTCTTGCCATCCCCTCCCCCGTCCCGGGGCCTTCGGCTCGGCCTGGCCTGGCCTGGCCTGGCCTGGGATCTCCTCACCCAACTTCAGCCCAGGCCTCCGGCCCCACCCCCTCGCACCAGCAGTCTGTCAGGCCCAAGGCCTCCTCGGCCCAGGCAGGCAGGCCTACCCCAGAGCTCTCACTTTCCTCTCTTTCACACTCACTATCGGTGCCCAGGTCGTCCACCCGCGTTTTCCTCCGCAGATGCCTGGATGCTACCAGCAGTAAGCCACCCCAAGGCCCGGCCTCCTCGCGCCCATCCGCCTGCAGGCCTCCCTCCTCCGTTACTCGGCTTGCCCCGCCGCCGCTGTACTGCCAGGCCCCCCAGACAGTTGACTCACGTCCCAGGCCCTCATCCCAGGGCCCCCGGCCACCCGCCTCTGCTACTCACCCTAGGCGCCCTCAACCCAGGCCGGGCCTCGCGGTCCCGGCCTCTCTCAGGCCCCGGGCCTTCTTTCACTCCACCCAGACCCAGGCCTTCAAGCGGCGCCGCGCCCCCTCCCAGTTCGGGTTCCCCAGGCCCTCGCCGCGCCTGGGGCTTCCGTGGCCCTTCCCGCCTGTCCGTCATTCGCGCCTCAGTCGATTGCCGACCCGCTCCGGGCCTCCCTTCACCCGCTCTCTGGCCCTTCCTCGCCGTTCCGGCCAATCCGAGCGGCCTCCGGCGCTCCGGGCCCTGCCCGTCAGTCAGTCGCTCACTCAGTTTGGCACCCGACGCCCTGGCCGTCAGTCAGTTCGCTCCTTTCAGCCCCGGGCCGTCAGAAAGGCCTCGGCGCCCCGAGCCTTTCGGCCTCTCCCGCAGCCCCATCCCCTCACTCTCCAGTCCGCTGGCTGCCCTCGCCCAGCGGCTTGGCCTCCAGAGTCCCGGCCCCCACGGTCTGTCAGGCAGACAGCGGAGGCCGCGCGCCGTCCGTCTGGCTAGGTTGCCCCGGCCTGGCCTCCTGGCCTTAGGCCGGGCCTCCAGGCCTCGGCCCCCGCCCCCAAGTAGCAGTGCCATCCCTGCCCGTCCGTTCGGCATCCGATATTCTGCAGCCCGACCCAGTCCGAGTGTCACTTCGGTGACCAAGGCCCGGCTAGTCAGTCCTGCCTCTTGTCGCCCGGGCTCTACCCGCTTCACCCCAGACTGGGCCTCCTGGCCTCGCCCCCCGAGCCCCCCAGCCGGGCCGCGGTGCGGGTCCACCTGGCAGTTTGGTCTCCGTCTTTACTCTGGCCAGTCCTGCCAGTCACAGAATTCTTGCTCCGACCCGAAGGTCTGACTTCCAGTGCCCAGAGCTGGGCCTTGCCCCAGGCCTCCTGGCCTCGCCCCCCGCGCCCCCCGGCCGCTGGGCCGCCTCCGTTCGTTGCCAGTGGTAGCCCCTCATCCCGCGACTTACCCCACACCCCGCTTTCCAGAACCCCCATATGGGCGCTCACCGCCCGCCCGCACAGCTCGAACAGGGCGGGGGGAGCGCTGGGGCCCGAGGCCGAGCTCTTCGCTGGCGCCGCCTCCCGGGACGTGGCCTCCATGGTCGTTGCTGCCGCTACCTCACAGAACCAGCAACTCCGGGCGCGCCAGGCCTCGGGCGCCGCCATCTTGGGGAGGTGCGCGAGTCCGTGAGTAGCGGTCTCGGGCTGCCATCTTGAGAAGGTCAGCAGTTAGGACGGTTCCATCGACGATGTGGGGAAGACTGGGAACTGCGTTAAAAGAATATCAAGTATTTATGCATACTTCCCAAGTTTCTTAGAAATCAATAACTCAAATATTCCCCAAGGTCAACATATTTGGGCATAGTGTGGCTAAGGGGATATTCCTTAGCAAATCCTTCTCTGGTGCAAATACCAGCTCTCCCTGCCCCCTGCCTCTGGACTGTAGTACATGCCAATCGGAGCGTGTGTTCGCCCCTACGACTAGTCTGCCGCACTTCCGGCCAGATCGCCGGATATCCGCTGAGTGACCCTTACAAGTCCTTTTTGATCCTCAAGTGGAATAGGTGCCGCTGTTGCTGCTTGTGTTGAGTCCAGAACTGCAGCCGGACATGGGGCTAGAGGACGAGCAAAGGATGCTGACCGGGTCCGGAGATCCCAAGGAGGTAAGACTCTCGGGCGACTCGACCTCCTTTCACAGCCCTGAGGCTCAGGACCTGACCCGCCAAAGCACGGGACCCTCTGGGCCCCCGTTTCCCAGTAGAGTTTGCAGGGTTGGGAGAGCTGGTTCCCCGTACCTTTCCCCATAGTTCGTCGGGTGACCTTGGGCAAGTAGGTGAGTAGGCTTTCTCTGGGCTTCGGCTTTCCCTTCTGTGAATGAGATGAAGGTTTAACGAGAACAAAAATGTTTTGTGGACTAAAGTTTTGTAAAAATGAGGCCTGCTTATGTTTTTAGTCAATCAGCTGTTCAGAGCCTCTAGTTTGACGAATTTGGGGAGCAAGCTGCCTCAGCTCGGGTCAGGGATCCTGGTATATTTCCGGGCATCAGGCCTTAGGCTAGTTTCTGTGAAAATGTGATTTCGTTTTCCTTGGGTGGGGGGAAGGGAAAAGTGTCTTTGGGGACAGTGAGTGTGGGGATGTGCGGAATAATTCTGTGATGAGAGAGGGAGCTCTTTCTCAGACTGAGAATGCCAGTTTAATACTAATCATTTATTGGCTGCTTACGATTCCAAGTGCTTTATATGTACTAATTCATTTAAGCCACATAATAGCCCTGTGAGGTATTAGGTAGTCATAGTATTGCCATTTTACATGAGGAAACAAGCATAGAGAGGTTAAATATCTAATCTGAGGACACACAGCTAATAAATCACGGAGCCAGGAATTGAACTCAAACAGCGTGGTTCCAGACAAGGCTTAGCCACAGTGTTACATGGTTTTACAGAAGCCAGCTAGTTTTGTTTCCCATCACATTTCCTATCTTTTGTTCTTTGGTCACTTCCCTGCAGTTGTTCTGGGTTTATGGGTTAAGAATAATTGGGAACTAGTTTATCCCATAATTTTTTCTAGTCTTATTTTCAGAAAAAGGACAAAAAAGAAATGGAGCCAGTCTCAGGAGGTTCAACTGGAAGTATACCAGAAAGTTCAGTAGGGCTCATCACAGCAGTAGATGAGAAAACAAAGTAAACAAGTAGTCAGTTTTATAATGAAAAAATCTGAGGTTATGAAGAACCTATACATCTTACAGGTTGAATCTTTTTATTTAGTGTGACCTTGGTTTTTATCATGGATATGAAGTTTACCTGAAGTAGTCCATATTCAGACTTGTATTTGGATTTGTTTTCTCAAAATATACCATGATACTTTTGACACAAAGTTATCAAAAATGATCAATAAAATAATCAGTGTAGTAACACTGCTAATAGGGAAAGGATATAAAGGTCTTGCTTCTAGGATATTGATTTCTGATTTCTAACTCAGGCAGAATGGGATTTCAGTTTTTTTGAATAACTGTTTTCAGGATGAATTTTTTTTTTTAAGAGCAAGGTTAAGAAATATTGTTTAATGGAAAACTAGACTTGTACATCCTAAGTAATAACTTCACATTTAGAAGACACCTTTGTTAATTTGAGAATAAGCAGCCTGGATTACAGTGAAACCTGCCCTGTCCCTCACTCCCAGTTTTCATAAGCTTTGGTCCCTTCCCTAAAGATCATGGTAGAGAATGGGGCAGATTGTACAAAGTTTTGAAAACACAGTGAGGGATTGTTGAACTATTTTTTTTTTCTCTATATATACCTTTTCTTTCCCTTCCTGCAAACGTGGACATGTACATGCACCAGTGGGCAAATGCTTTACTTTTGACAGGTTGAGTTACTGATCAGGCACTACTATGCCACAGATTCAAGACTGCTCTTCCTCTCAAAGATATTTTTTTTCCCCCATACCCCTTGGAAGAAAAGAAACTGAGGTTGAAATAATAGGTAGGGCCTGATGTTTTTAAGCTTGTGAGTGGAATTGTGTAGAGCTTTGGTGCACTTATATATTGATAGTGTACTTAGAGTCCTGAAAGTTAAGCAAGCCAAAAAGCAGTGACAGAAATTATCTTTAAATTCTGGCTAAAGGAGAGTTTAGGTTTGGCTATTTTCATTTACCCAATTCAAATTCAGTACATAGGAAAAAAATGTTAGCTTTCTACCTAACTTGGTTTGGGAATGTCAGGATTAAATTTAGCTATTTCTGGTACTACTGGTATGTCTCAGAATTTAGAAGAAAATATATTTAAGTTGGGGACTTTCCTGTAGCTCAGATGGTAAAGAATCTGCCTGCAATGCAAGAGATCCGGGTTCGATCCCTGGGTCAGGAAGATCCCCTGGAGAAGGAAATGGCAACCCACTCCACTGTTCTTGCCTGGAGAATTCCCTGGACAGAGGAGCCAGGCAGGCTATAGTCCATGGGATCGCAAAGAGTTGAACACGACTAAGCAGCTAACACACATACACATGCTGATTCCATATGAACAGTTGACAACTTGAATGACTGATTAATTTGGTTGCATTGGGTCTTAGTTGCTGCATTATGGGATAGTCATTGCATGTGGGTTCCAGAGCACGCAGGTGCAGTAGTTGCGGCAGGTGGGCTTAGTTGACCTTGAGCCATGTGGGATCTTATTTCCTCAATCAGGGGGTGAACCTGGATCCCCTGCATTACAAGGTGTGTTCTTAACCACTGGACCACCAGGGAAGTCCCTGAATCTTTTTTTTTTTCCCTATAATTAAAATGTTTAATGAGCATAAATATATGACAGACATTATAGATACAGTTAGGTATTACATATAGCATAGTATTTGCAAAATCTATACATTAAAATTGATATGGCAATTTTACTGTGACAGCTGGACTCTATATCAGAAAATGTTTGATTAGTGCTTGTTATTACTAAACTGGGAGCCCCTTAAGGGTCTATTATAATTAATCAAATCATTACAGATACAAAGTGCATAAACTTTTAGAGCATTGTACACACAAGTTTGTTGCTAATGAACATGAGATTCTGTGTTCTTCTTTAAATATACTCAGGACTTGTTTTATTTTTTTTCCATTTATTTTTATTAGTTGGAGGCTAATTACTTTACAGTATTGTAGTGGTTTTTGTCATACATTGACATGAATCAGCCATTCAGGACTTGTTTTAATCAGGTAGGGTAAGGTTACAAGCATGGAGACAACTTTTTTTTTTTTAATTTAGACTACTTTATAATTTATTTTAAAATTATTTAAATTGTATAACCTGTAAAGTTGTTTATATCAGTGACCCTGTCTAGTATGATGTCTATTACCCTTCTTCAAAGCATAACCAAGATAGGACAGCTGTTTTTGAATGAAGTTTATTACTATAGTTTCTGACTATATATAGTTATATATAGCGACTGGACTGACTGACTATAGTTCCCAAGAGAAGAGGGCAGGCCATACCACCCAGGGCCACATGGGGAGGTGCCAGAACCAATCAGGAGCAGAAGAAGGACTAGGTGAGGCAGGATAGGCAGGTTCTGGCAAGTTTTGTTGTTGTTCAGTCACTCAGTCGTGTCCGACTCTTTGCAACCCCTTGGACTGCAGCATGCCAGGCTTCCTTGTTCTTCACCGTCTTCCCGAGCTTGCTCAAACTCATATCCATTGAGTTGGTGATGCCATCTTGTCCTCTGTCGTCCCTTTCTCTTGCCTTCAATCTTTCCCAGTATCAGGGTCTTTTCCAATGGGTAGCTTCTTCCCATCAGGTGCCCAAAGTATTGGAACATCAGCTTTAGCATCAGCCCTTCCAATGAATATTCAGGCTTGATTTCCTTTAGGATTGACTGGTTTGATCTCCTTGCAGTCTGTTTCCTTGCAGTCCAAGGGACTCTAAACAGTTTCTCCAACACCACAGTTCAAAAGCAACAATTCTTTGGCTCTCAGCCTTCCTTATGGTCTAACTCTCACATCCATACATGACTATTGGAAAAACTATAGCTTTGACTATATAGCGAATTAAGATCTCTGCTGCTTAATGCGCTGTCTAGGTTTGTCATAGCTTTTCTTCCAAAGAGTAAGCGTCTTTTAATTTCATGGCTGCAGTCACCATCTTCATTGATTTTGGAGCCCAGGAGAATAAAATCTGTCACTGGTTCCATTGTTTCCCCATCTATTTGCCATGAAGTGATGGGACTGGATGCCATGATCTTCCGTTTTTGAATGCTGAGTTTTAAGCCAGCTTTCTCTCTCCTCTTTCACCTTCCTCAAGAGGCTTTTTAGTTCCTCTTCACTTTCTGCCATAAGGGTGGTGTCATTTGCATATCTGAGGTTATTGATATTTCTCCTCATAGTCTTGATTCCAGCTTGTGCTTCATCCAGCCTGGCAT